GCCTATTCAAATGCATTATAATTTTCCCATATCAATCGCATCCGGGAGGTTCGTGCGATTGATGCGAGCGTGCTTCCATGGATTTGAATAGGCTCTCGCATGCGATTTCCTTACTGCGGAAAGAGTCTGTTTCAGGCATCAAAGGTGTTTTACGTACTGTCAGAATTAGAACTCGGAGGGGCACGAGGTCATGACTCAGTTTTCCGGCATCATGTGATCCCTCCCGTTGCTGCAGATCCAGTGTCTGTCCCCTGACGATATGAGCGAGCTGAGGTGGTGGTGCGTGCCAATGTTAGAGCGAGCAGTAAACATGCTCGCCGGTCTGCAACGTGCGTGCACAATGCAGGATCGGTCCCGTTTCCGCACAGCCGCCGCTGACAGGTTCTGTTTCCGATCAACGCGCCGACATTATGCTAAAACTGAGCTGAGCGAGCAACGTACATACGATAGTCGTACGCGTGAGCTCATTTTGACCTCGAGGCTAGAGGCCCTGTATAGAAAGAAAAAGTTCGGCCCTAGATAGAAGTCAGGTCAGTTTACGCGCGCAGCCTTGGAAGAAGTCGCTACTTTCTCTAAGAGGTTCATAAAACATAGGTGAGACACGTCGTCATTAACTTTTAGCACCGAGCTCCATACAAAAAGATTAACTACGGCGACATCTGCCAGACGAAGTTGATTCGGGACCTCGTTTCTCTCCTTTTGCTATCACTGAAGTGACGTTTAAAATGGCCCCGCCCCGCCCCGTCCGACCGTAGACCTGATCAGTTCAATCTTACAAGAAGAAAGTATAGTTAGGAAGTCCCAAGGTATTATGCCCAAGACCCTTCCTATCAGTGGCGTATCCAGGATCTTGAAAAGGGGGAGGCCAAACCTGCTCAAGGGGCCCCACCCTTACCTTAGGGGCCCCAGTAGTGGCGTACTTAACCCACGCCCAGGTGCGGTTCTTTGCCTTTTTCACCCATGTGAGGGAGCCTTTTTAGGCACAGTCGGCAATGTAAAAAAGAAAAGAAAAACGTGAAAAAGCCATTGATATCGAGCTCTGTATGTAGTGTACGATTTATTTCAGCAGTAGGCATACAGTTTTTTTTTTTTTTTTGCTTTGGTCGTCGCCAGGCCCAGGGCCACTAAAGATTATCAAAACCAAATGTTTTGTCATTTTTTTTACGATTGTAACATTTTTCAAAGGGCAGATGTCAATCTCTTAGTGGCTTGCGCTGTTTGAGGGCTGATACCCTTAGCTTTGAAGGGCCCGACTCTGGTTGAGCTCTGATCTAGACTCTGATGGCCCTATGTTGTCCACATTGGCCTCACTCCGACCTCTGAAGGCTCATCCTGGCCTCTGAAAGCCCCACACCGGCAACAGAGTGAACCTCGCTGGCCTCCGGGTCCCATAATGGCCTCAGGAGACCCATGCTATGGCTGACATCATAGGGCCCCCCGCTGGCTCTTGGGAGTCTTTGGGTCAGTCTGACAACCTTATGCCGCTCTCGAATACACGCCGGTCTCTAGAAGCCCATGGTGTCCCCTGAGGGTCCCACGTCGGCCTTTAAGGGCCATTCCTACCTCAGGGGGCCCAAACATGCATAAGTCCTGAAATGTGGCTGCCGAGGCCCTCGAGGTGGCCTCTAATGGCCGACGCCAGCCTATGAAGGCCCGCGCTGGCTTCTGAGGGCTCAGTACCAGACTCTGAAGTCTGAAGTCAGATGACAGATGGTCCCACGCTGGCCTCAGATGGTTCAAGTTGGTCACAGAGTGCCTTACACTGGCCTAAAAGGGCTCCACATTGTCTTCAGAGGGCCCCAAGCTAGTCTCGGTGGCCAATGGGCCTCAGTCTGACCTAAGAAGGCCCCATGTCGCTGGGCTTAAAAGACCCCACGCTGGACATAGACGGCCCCATGCTGGACATAGAGGGTCCCACACTGGCCTTACAATTGGCCCCACACTGGCCTTATAACACCCCACAATGGCCTTAGAGGGCCCCACACTGGCCTTAGAGGGCTGAGCGCTGGCTCCTTGGGGCTCTACACCAGCGTCAAAGGATCCCACGCTCGAGTCTAAGCTTCCTTAGGGCCGCCAAAGCGACCTCTGAGGGCCCACGCTAGCCTCTTGGGGCTCGGCCTTAGCCTCTGAGGGCCTATGAGGGCCACCAAATGGCATTTTAAGAAAGTTTGACGCAGTTTGACTTTATTTATGCTTGGGCCAGTACTTTAGATGAGGCCCTGAAGGTCGTTTCTCTTGGGACACTCAAGCAGGCACGTACCCAGGATTTCGCCCAGGAGGGGGCCACGGGCCACCCGGATGCCGCTGTCAACCCAGGCAGGGGCGTATCCAGAACCTTTCGATGAAAAGATTGGGCACATTGGGTCCGGTCCCCCCTTGCAGACGGGCCCCCTCTGTCCGTCTGTCTGTTTGTCTCTCTGTCTGTCTGAGCACTGAGAAAATGTGCAAAATTGGCAGGTAAAAATATAATTTTTGCTCGAAAAGTATGCATAAAATGCACGGTACTTTATGAGGAAGTGAAGCGAGCGAGCGCCTCACAGTCACCTGTGCTGGTCCCTCAGAGGTGTCGGTGAAAGGCCGTCAGATGCGCTGGTGTGGGTCTTCACAGGCGCCGTTGTGGGGGCCTTAGGGCTTAGAGACACTGGTGGGGGCCATCACTTAGGCATGTGTGGGGCCCTGAAAGTTACTGGTGGCCCTTCATAGGCCGGCAAGGGACCCTCAGAAGTCGGCGAGAGGCCCTCAGAGTCACTGGTAAGTGACCGTCAGATGCGCTGCATAGGGCCCTCGGAGGCGCCGGTGTGGGGCTCTCAGAACCGCCGAAGGCCGAAGTAGCCGAAGTAGTAGGCACTGGTGTGGGGCCCTTAGAGGTGGCAGTGGAGGGCCTCGCAGGCGCCGTTGTGAGGGCCCTCAGAAACACCGGTGTGGGCCGTGGGGCCATAGCAAACGGGTATGGGCCCTTACAGCTGATCCCTTATTGGCCGGCAAGAGCCCTCTGGGCCGGCAAGGTCCCTCAGAACCTGAAGTGAGGCCCTTCTGGAGATAAGTGTGGCTACACAAGAGCCCATGGGGTGTTCTCACAAGCCCTGTGGTCTCCTTTTCAGTTAAAGCGTTGCCAGCGCGGGCCCTCTGCCGCCAATTGGCACCGCAGGGCCTCTCGGGCCCGAGGGGACCCTAAACCCTATACTGGACACGTGCCCCCTCGCCCCTGGCCATACCATTGAGTCCGAGTGATCACGGGCCGTCCAGGTACCTAATCAGGGGCCTCTCAGGTGACCAGGGCCTTTCAATTGACCAGGGGTCTTTCAATTGACCAGGAGGCCCTCTGATAACCAGAGGACGGTTATACCAGGGGCTCCATGGGTAACTAAGGGCCTTTATGTGACTGCAGCGGCCCTTCATATTACCAGGTGCTCTCCAGTTAAACATGGGCCCTTCAGGTGACCAGGGTTTCTTCAGATCACTGGTCAGGGGTCACCCAGGGGATCAGGGGCCCCTCAGGTAGCTAGGGGCCCCTTAGATAACTAGGGGCCCCTCAGATAACCAGGGGCCCTCATATACCAAGAGGCCCCACTGGTAATTTCAGATATAATCAGGGGCTCTCAGGCAATCACGGGCCCTTTAGGTAATCAGGGGCCCCTCAGGTAAGCAGCGGCCCCTCAGGAAACCAGGGGCCCCTCAGGTAACCATGGGCCCCTCAGATAACCAGGGCCCCGGGCCCCGTAGCCAGGGGCCCCTCAGGTAAGCAGCGGCCCCCAGGAAACCAGGGGCCCCTCAGGTAACCATGGGCCCCTCAGATAACCATGGGCCCCTCAGATAACCAGGCCCCCCGGGCCCCGTAGCCAGGGGCCCCTCAGGTAACCAGAAGTCCTTCAGATAACCAGGGACCAGTCAGGCAACCAAGGCCCCCTCAGATAACCAGGGGCCCCTCAGGTGACCAGGGGGACCCTCAGGTAACCAGGGGGACCCTCAGGTAACCAGGGCGCCCCTCAGGGCCCCCATGGCCCCCCTTGGGTACGTCACTGCACTCAAGTGACCCAAAGGGCCCACTTGCATGTTTGATGCCAAAGGGGGAGGCCATGGCCTCTTGGCCTCCCCCCTGGATACGCCACTGCTTCCTATATATCGGTGCCCTTTGTATCGTGGAAGCCGGAAGGTGAAGGCGGGGTGGAACACCTGCGGGTCTTATGAGAGGGTGGCGGCCACTTGTGACGGTGCTGCTTTTCACGGAAGCAGCCCCCAGGCCCACACTATAGCTGTTGCAGCTTGTTACAACTCAATGCGTAAGTAAATCTGCTTCTGATGACTATGTGAATGATGTCTTTTCCTCATGCAGAACGTCCCAACGATGTGATTTAACAATAGGTAGGTACATTCATGATACGCAAAAGCAGTCACACCGCCGCGCGGTCGCGTCGTGACGTTGGACGTTGGCGGTTGCTAGCGCGGTGCATAATGGTTTTCGTTTGGCTGCAAAAGGCAAAGTTTTGAATTTAGATAGATATTGGCATGTACAGACAATTTAGTTGTTTGCTGAACTTAGGTCAGAAAAGATCAGGCTCTGGCCGGATTCGATGTCTCCCGGACGATGAAGATTCTACAATATACGTCGTCCGGCCGATGCATACCGTTCGATGTCGGCGGGGGCTTGGCTGCGGCTCGATATCGGCGGGGGTTTGGCTTGGCCTCGGCTGCTGATACCGAATGCCATTGGCCGGACGACATAGCGTTGTCCGGCAGAAATAGAATCCGGCCTCCGGTATATAGGGCCTTGCCGGCATCGGTGTTCGAAGATCAGACAGCTTTACTCGATTTAGCGTTTGCGCTCTTATACGGCCTTGGTTTGCGCTTAGTTGGGTTTGTAACCAGCAAGCAGCACCCAGGGTATATAAGCAGCACCCATTATAGAGTTCAGTGGCAGCACCTTATCAAAAATGCTGCATCAAAATAACTTGGCTTTTGTCGTCACCATGGCGCAAAAGAGACAAACACAACGCGGCTCTGAGCGTAAGCGCGTGGTGAATGTGCACACCACAGTGTATATAAATACGTGATTCCGTACTCCTTGCCGTACTCCGTAGTTCGTGGAAGGCAGGGGTCGGGTTTGTGGTACAAGAAAAGTAAGAAAAATGCAAGATTCTAGCCATTGCCCATTGACTAGTTGAAACTTGAAGATTCTTAAAATAGCTAGATGATACCTATTTAACAGGCTATCTTGATGTCAGTTTGGCTTGCCGTTAGGCTGCCTGCAGTCTCGCACAAAACTATTTCAATTTGGGGTAGGCATTGATTCTCACTTGGATTCTCACAACAGGAGACAACATGATGCATGTATAATTTGTGTTTGCCTCACTTGACTTGGATGATGATGAATTCTGCAGTCACAGATAGGACGGTACTCACCGGCTGGAATCATGATAAGGAATCACCAGTTAATACCTCACTGGGTACCTAACCTACCTAGTCCCGGACTGCATAGAATTTTCGTCGTCCGAGAGGCATTGAACGAGGGGTTAATTTGATAGAAGTCCTTCTTAGTTAGTGTCATTGATAAAAGCCAATCCTTACCATATTTATATCCAATATTATCAAATAATTATCAACACCTGGCAGTGACTGGCACCTTTGGTTGTAGTGTGTAGGTAAAGAGAGGTCGGGTTATTATGTTTTCATCTTGTTTATTTTTACTGATCAAATAGATAGTTGTACTTATGACGCTCCTGAGACGTGGTTATATGCGGTATTTCAATTTTCATAATAATTTTCTTGGTTTCAATGGATGTGTCCTGGTGGAGTGCTTGGAAATCATTCCAAATGAGGTAACCGTAAAACGGGGTGTTAAGGGACAGTTTTGAGGTGTTTTGTTATATAACTCAAGAAGGGTTGGAGATAGAAGCATCAAATTGTCAGCATTTTATGTGGAATTTGGTGCTTTACATGCCTGCCACATTAAAGTTTTTAAGATTTATACCTGCATATTATTTTTTATTATTTTTCATCACCGTCCCTTAGCACCTCAATGTGGGGTGTTAACCCTCGCCCGTAAACGGCGATCTGCCACCTTCGCCCATGCAGGGGGGGGGTTGGTGCGACCCCCCCCTTGGCGTTTGAAAACGGAGCGTCGTAGAGCTTAGCGGAAAAGACCAACGGATTGCTCTCGCCGAGATCTCGCGATTGGTGGTATATTTTTTGGTCCTAGGTCAACATTTGACCTACTTTTGACCGGTCAAAGGTCAAATTTTCGGAAAAATAGACTTTTTTCAACTTTCCGCGGCGATTGCGGCAAAACGATGGGAGATATCGACTTGAAACCTTCACTAATGTGTTCCTTGATCAATTCTCTATCGTTTGGTATGTATTTCGTTTCCCTAGCTCTAAAAATGGCGCGTTGGGAGCGCCGGAAGTCGGCAAGGTCACAGTCGGCGGCAGAAATTCGAAAAATCAAAATTTAAATTTTTGAAATCTGATTGTATTTTTGGATTTGGGAGGTCCATTTGCTCCCTATAGAAGCTAATATTGCTGCATATTCCCATTGAGGTGACAAGAATTAGCAAAATAGTGGTTCGGGCGCTTTTCAAAAATAGTACCGGACGCTGTTCCTCTTGTGACGTCATAGCTCCGTGACCTGACCTGACCCGGTCAAGTTTCTTATACCATATGATAGCCAATACTTGCCCCAACATGCATAGGAAGTTTCATCACGATCCATCCACCGATGTCCGTACCACTGGCAGGAAACCTCGGGCGTTGGCACTCAGTTTGTGAAAATCCGGCCGGAGGCTGTTCCCTTTGTGACGTCATAACTCCGTGACCTGACATGACCCGGTCAATTTTTTTTTATCAAAAGATGCGCAAGGTTTGCCCCATAAGGTACCCAAAATTTGGCGGCGCTGCGCGCCGCCGTTTTTGCACTATTTCCGAAAAACCTCAGGGGGGGGGGGTTGCACCAACCCCCCCCCCTACATGGGCGAGGGTTAAGGGACACCTATATTATTCCAAGAAATGGTCATCAAATGCCCACAATTGGGGTGTGGAAGGGCACACAATTTATTTATTGAAATGGTTTGCATATTCTGTCACAAAACAAGTCAGGTTCATTCTGATTCACCACTAATGACCTTTTTAGCCAATTACGTGTAATGCAGTTTACGCTTGTGGAAAATGTGCTAATTATAAGGTAAACAGAACCAAAAAGTAATCTTCTGTCATCAATAAAAACCCATGTTGAAGCTAGTCACTTGTCATTATGTTGCCCTCTTTGTTTTAGTCTTTTTATGATGACATCACATTTACCTACATCAGTCTCCATTGACCCATCATTGTAAATTAAAAGAGTGTTGAGATGTTTTGTTACATAACTTAAGATGTGTTAGAGATAAAAGCATGAACTTGCCAGCATTTTATGTGGAATTTGGTGTTTTCCATGCCTACTGAAAGAAAACTTAATGAAATTATATTTAGATATTATTTTTTATTTTTTTCTTCTCTGTGCCTTAGCACCCCACATCCACCTCAAAATATGCATGTATCCAGAAAAGAGGAATAGGATGATGAATGAATGGGTGGATTTGCACAAGTTTTTCAGGAAACATGAGCAATACATGTGACAATACACCTATGCTTTCATTTTCCCTGTACACCCACTAGTTTATGTGGTACACACAGAGTTTTGGAGATGTTTCAATTTTGTGAAAATGTAGCATGATTTTCAAATCCATTTTTGAACCAAATCACTTGCATGAAAAACCATACCATTTTGTCCTATGGTCAAGAGCAAAACAGTGTCAACTACCACACTGAAGTTTCTTATTGAACCTTCTCAAATTAGGAAGTTAATATGACTAATAATATGAATGTTAATATGAAGTTTTTCCCATGCAACTGTCCCTTAAAGGGACCCTCCCACCTTAACATTAGATTTGAGTTGAGATAGCCAAAATGGGGTCCCTGGCTCACAATTACCGGTTTCGGCACTCACAACATCGAGAAATGCCTTAAATCGGAAATATTGAATTTCAAAATTGCAGCATTATGATTCAGAGGGGCTAATGCATAGGAATACCCCTCTGAATGTGTGACGTCAGTGCAGATATCTAACGATTTTTAAATGTTTGACTAAAACGTTTTGTAGCACGCGGTGGTATATGCTGCTTTGCGCGCAACAAGTGTCCCTTAACACCCCATTTTACGGTATTTTAGCACTCAACAGCATTTTGAAGCTAATTGACCACATCACAAACATTACAATTAGGTTTCTTACATAACATACTCTCATATCCAAATTCCAATGCTGATTCAGTTCAGAATGGTTTTGTGAGTGTCTAATTCTTCCTAGTACGTACTACTTAGATTTCTTTTTGTTTCAAATAACTATGCATTAAAAACATATTTTAGGAGCATTTTAAACAGTAACATTTTGGAGCACTAACTTGGAAAGCCCAAGCTCCAAAGTCTATCCATCTGGGGCCTGGGGGACTAGGTCTTTTTCAGGAATTTGATTATAATTCAAATTAGTATCACAGACTGCCCTTGTCTTCATTGTCCACTATTTACAAACTATTTGCATTACCTTTCAGCTTGTCCCAGCTCGTAGATTGTGCCAGAACAAGCCATGGACTCAGGTGGCGGGGATCAGCAGCAGTTGGTGGCTGAGGGCGTTCCCTCTGTGGCTGCGGCAGCTGTACTTGTCTCCAGCACTCCCCTGCCAGAAGACACACCTGTGGTCAAAGGTGGGTACCTACACACTTGCTGTGCATCCAGAATCCAGATAGTGTCATAATCTGGGGAGCGTGCTGTCGAGAGTGCAAACTTGCAAAGGTGGTGCAAAGGCAACGTGGTGGTAATGCATAAACCTGAATCTTTTCATAAGTTACAGTGAGTGAAAACAGCTGTTTGGAACTCCATAGGATCCCGTGATCTCCAATGCTGTAGCGATGAGACTAGTCCCGCTTTTGACTTACCATAGATGATGGCTGCTGAGCTGGGGATGACTGATCGGGGAGAAGCTCAACAGCGGTTCCCAGGCCCGAGAATCACTCGAAGGTGCCTGGCAGCCAGTTTTGCCAGTTGAAGGCGGACTTTCTGGTTCAAATGAACTACGCAAACCAGAAGATGGCGAATCCCACGCTGCTTTCAAACATTACATCCATGATACCACCGTGGTGCTCGCACCAGACAGCGTAACCATTAAACAGTCCGAAATTATCTTGGCCCATGAGTTTGTCCCCTAAAGCTATCTATGTTTCGTGATGGCTCAAGCCAACCAGTATAACGCCTTTTGGGGCGACTAACGGAGCGAGCGAGAGGGTGAGCCTTGCACGTGCGAAATTGCGAGGGGGTACCTCCAACTGAGTTGTGCACGGCACCCTACTAACCGGTCTCTAGCGATGTGCCAAATTTGAGCACAATCGGCCCAGCCGTTCTCGAGATCTGGAGGCGGCACCCTGCACGTGCGCACGTGCAAAATGGGTACCAACTGACTTTTGCACGGCACCCTACTAACCGGTCCCTAACCATGTACCAAATTTGAGCGCCATCGGTCCAGCCGTTCTCGAGATCTGGAATCGACCCCTGCACGTGCGCACGTGCAGCAGCACCTCAACTCTGGCACATGGATATGCATTGCATAGTGGGTGCCTACCTACATGCCAACTTTCAGCGCAATCGGCCAAGTAGTTACCGAGATATTGCAACAATTGCAAAAGTGACACCTCTTCGTTTTGCACGTGGCACGTGCATAAGGGGTCACCCACATGCATCGGGAATAGTCCAATACTTGGTAGAAGGAATGAAGCTACCCTACAAAAATTACCGCATGTAAATCGGTCAAGTGGTTGCTGAGATATAAGCCTCGCAAAAGCGTGACCACGGCCGGCCGGCCGGCCGGCCGCTCATACTCAGAAATTTCCGTTATTCTACGTACCAGTATAACGCCTTTTGGGGCGACTAACGGAGCGAGCGAGAGGGTGGGCCTTGCACGTGCGAAATTGCGAGGGGGTACCTCCAACTGACTTGTGCACGGCACCCTGCTAACTGGTCTCTAGCGATGTGCCAAATTTGGGCACAATCGGCCCAGCCGTTCTCGAGATCTGGAAGCGGCACCCTGCACGTGCGCACGTGCAAAATGGGTCCCAACTGACTTGTGCACGGCACCCTACTAACCGGTCCCTAACCGTGTACCAAATTTGAGCGCAATCGGTCAAGCCGTTCCCGAGATCTGGAAACGACCCCTGCACGTGCGCACGTGCAGCAGCACCCCAACTCTGGCACATGTATATGCAGTGCCTAGTGGGTGCCTACCTACTGTTGTAACGTGAGGTGACGTCCGCCACACACGCTGGCTCGATCCAAACTGGTGTATTTGGCCCAGACCATCTCGGCCGGTCACCGCACAGCCGCAGGCGACCAATCCCCGTCCGTCCCGCACCGGTGACGTCATAGGTCATCATATGACGTCACCGGTGACGTCATCTCACATCCTAACACCTCCACCACAGTCACAAACCACCCGAACACAAACGCTCTTCCAAACACAACACACCAACACGTAACACTTAAGTCACAGTACCGGTATTTCTCCATACCGCAGCAAAACGGTCCGGCTTCGCCGTCGGCCGTGGCCTGAGAATACGGTTCTCCGCAGCACGCCTCACACCCTCCGACGCGGACCGCTCCAACTGACCTCTACCCTCGTTCCCAGACCGCTCTCCCCTATCTAACGCCGGCCGCTCCGCCGGACGTACAGCACCCTCACACACCAGCCCCTCTCGATAATCAGGTGGCGCGGCACGCTCCGGAGGAGTCTCCGTTGCACGCCTTCTGACGTGATCGACATGCCGACAAATCACTCTACCATCCGATAACATGACAGTCACTTTCACACTACACACTTCTAGCACAATACCAGGAAGCCAGTTCCTACCATTTACCCCCTGGAGTCTGTCTACCGATGTGACCCACACGGCGTCTCCTTTTTGTACCGACATGGACCTGGCACCTCTGTCCGCGTACTGTTTCTGAGCTCTCTGACGGGTCTCTACCTGACTAGCCAGATCCGGCCTCAGCAGATCCATGTGAGTCCGCACTGGTCGGCCGATAAATAACTCCGCCGGTGATCGACCAGTGGTCGAATGAGGCGTGTTCCTGTACTGGTACAGGAACTGTGCCACCCTGTATCCAACCGGGCCCTGTAACGAGCGATAACTATTTTTAAAAGTCTGCACATAACGCTCGGCCAAACCATTGCTCTTTGGGGAGAACGGAGGTGACGTCACATGCTCAATTCCCAGTGACACGCAAAAACTCTGGAATGCTGGGCAGACAAATGAACTGGCATTATCCGAGCACAGCACCCGCGGTAAGCCCCATGTGGCGAACGATGCTCTTAATTTCTCAATTGTCACTGCTGTTGTGGACCCTTTGGTTGGGTACACATCCACCCATTTTGAATATGCATCTACAATGATAAAAAACATGTGACCGTCTATCGGACCACAGTAATCGATGTGTACGCGATCGTAAGGGCCCCTGGGCCATTCCCACGGGTGCAACGGAGTATTGGATACCTGGTTCCGAGTCTCATTGCAATGCTGACACTTTCTCACCATCTGGGAAATATCCTCGTCCATGTGAGGCCACCACACATAGGACCGCGCGAATGCTTTTGTCCGTGACTCCCCCTGATGGCCTGCATGCAGCATGCGCAGTACCTTCTCCCGGCCCTGTGTAGGAATCACCATGCGGCTTCCCCACATCAGACAACCGCCCTGACAGCTAAGTTCCCCGACTCTCTGCTGGAAGGGGCGAAAGTCATGCGGCAGTTCCCCACCGGCCGGCCAACCCTGCTGTGTGTACTGCAGTACATGGGCCAGCACCGGGTCACGGGCCGTCCAGCCCCGTATCTGCTCCGACTTTACGGGGCACCCGTCCAGAAACTCCAACAGATTAACGAATTCTGCTGGCGTCGGTGATGTCACTGCACTGCACGGCAGCGGCAAACGGCTCAATCCGTCACAGTGGGTCTGCTTCGAAGCAGGCGTGTATTCTAGTCTGTACGAGTACCCACTGAGCATTAATGCCCACCTTACCATTCTCGGCGAGGCCATCACCGGAATCTGTTTTCGCTCACCCAAAAGACCCAGTAGAGGCTTATGATCAGATCGGATCACAAAATCTCGCCCTGCCAAATAGTAGTTAAATTTTTTCACGCCGTTCACGACAGCCAATGCCTCCCTGTCCGTCTGACTATATCTCCTCTCGGTGGGATTCAGAGACCTTGAATAAAAGGCTACAGGGCGCTCTCCTTGTGGCGTGCGCTGACTCAGCACGACACCGATGCCTGACGGGCTAGCGTCACAAGCCAGTATCACGGGTAACTGCGAGTCAAAGTGAGCCAGGACCGGCGACTTCAACAGAAGCGCTTTGGCCCTCCCAAATGCCTCGGACTCGGCATTTCCCCACACCCACGACTCGCCCTTACGTAAAAGACGATAAAGGGGAGCCAGAACAGTCGATAAATTTCGAAGAAATTTACTGTAATAGTTTATTAGCCCTAACCAGGCCTGCAGTTCCTGTACATTTCGCGGCTCAGGCGCCGCTCGTATCGCGGTGACTTTCTGCTCCGTCGTGTGAACACCGTCTCCACTCACGGTGTAACCCAGGTAAGTAACGGAGCTTACCCCGAAACTACACTTTGCCTTATTTACCCGAAATCCAGCCGCGGCCAGACGGCCGAGAACCTCCCGTAACCGAGACTCATGCTCCTCCCGAGACGGCGCCGCGATGATCACATCATCGAGAAACACTGCCACCCCAGGTAAGCCGCTCAGCACCTGGTCAAGCGTGCGTTGAAAGAGAGACGGGGCACTCGCGTACCCAAAACTCAACCGAGTGGGTCTGACCAGGCCGCGAGGAGTATTCAGAGTTAAATACTCTCTCGATTTGTCGTCCAGCACTAGCTGATTGTAGGCACTCTTTAAGTCAACCTTCGAGAAGATCTGACAACCCGTTAATTTTACGAGGAGTTCTTCCACACGCGGCAGTGGATACTGATGCACTTTAGCAGCCTGGTTTATGGTTAGCCTGTAGTCACCGCAGAGTCGCAACGTACCGTCCCCCTTGGGCACCACCACCATTGGCGCCGCCCATTTACTGTCTTTGACCTCTTCCCACAAACCTAGCTTTAACTGTCTATCCAGCTCAGCGTCAACTCGCGCCCGATACGCCAGGGGAACAGGGCGCGCTTTGCAAAAGCGTGGTGTCGCGTCTGGGTCAACCGCGATGGTCACTTTCTCGCCCTTGAAACACCCCAACTCGTCATCAAACAGTTCTGCATACTCGGTCAACACCGGGGCTAACGCAGGGTCCGCTATCACGGACTTACCCGTCGGCTGGGGTGGAGACACGTCTGCCATGCGGCAGATAGCATTCCAGTCCAACTTGAAGTACGCCAACCAGTCACGTCCGAAGAGCACCGGGCCGGTGCCTTCCGTCACGATCAGCGGTAGGTTCACCGAAACAGAACCATATTGCACGCACACTATCGCCTCGCCCCGTAGGGCCAACCGCTGACCACCATAGGTGCACAATTTACGCCGCGAAGGAGCTATCGCCGGACTCCCCTTTGGGAACAGCCTGTTAAACTGTTCCTCCGAACACACAGAGACCGCGGCGCCTGTATCCACCTCCGCCCGCACTGCACGGCCGTTTAGTTTGATATCCACGTACAGGGGCGGGCGGCTCTTTTTTGACTGCGGTGACTGCGGTGACTGGTAGAACAGCGTGTAGACCTCTTCAGCAGCGTCGTCTGCGGGGTCCGCTCCCTCCGCTGGTGATGCCGGAGCGCCGAACTCATCGTCCTCCACTTGATCCACCCAGCCGCGACCCGCTGCGCGGCATGCATCTCGAACGTGTCCCATCTCACCGCACTGGAAGCAGCGGCGATTTCTCGCCCAGCACCTGCTCGGCGAATGTCGGCGGCTCCGACAGCGGTGACAAGGAGCGCCTTGCTGCTGCTCCCTCGGTCCCCGCCGATCCCGTGTCACGGTACCTCCCCTCCGACTGGGCGAGTCCATCGCGGCCGGGCGCCGGCCCTGACCGCCGGGCGCTGGACCACGCCCACCACCTGCCCGAGGCGGCGCTGCGCGCTGCGTGCTGCGCTGCTCCAGCCGGCCGACCACCGCCAGCGGCCGGGCGGCCGGCACAGCGGCGGACTCAGCGCGGCCAATCTCCTGCGCCTGAGCCTCTGCTGCCTCGCTGGTGCAGGCCAGCGCCAGAGCTGACTCCAGGGTCAGGCTCATCTGGCTGAGGAGCCTGGCTTGCAGTCTGGTGTCCCGAATGCCACACACCAGTCGGTCTCGGAGCATCTCCGGCAGGGTCTCGGACGGAAACTGACACGGCTTTGCCAACCTGCGTAGCCTGGCTGCGTACTCGGTGACCGATTCGTTCTCGTCTCTGCAGCACGAATGGAACCGGAACCGAGCGACGATCTCAGATGACTTCGGCTCAAAGTGACCTTGCAGCACAGTGACTAGCTGCTCGTACTCCAGGTCGCTGACCGTCTGCGGCGCCACCAGATCCTCCAGCAGTGCAAATGTCTTAGGCCCTACCACACTGAGCAGAGTCGCACGTCTCTTAGCTTGGCCAGAGACACCCGTAGCCACCAGGTACTGTTCCAGCCATCTGGCATATGTCCCAAACGACTCTTGACTGGGATCAAACTCCCTCGCCAAACCACTCAGACTGGCCATGGCGCACGCCGCGCGGGTTCAGTCTCGTCGCCACTGTTGTAACGTGAGGTGACGTCCGCCACACACGCTGGCTCGATCCAAACTGGTGTATTTGGCCCAGACCATCTCGGCCGGTCACCGCACAGCCGCAGGCGACCAATCCCCGTCCGTCCCGCACCGGTGACGTCATAGGTCATCATATGACGTCACCGGTGACGTCATCTCACATCCTAACACCTACATGCCAACTTTCAGCGCAATCGGCCAAGTAGTTACCGAGATATTGCAACAATAACAAAACTGACACCTCTTCGTTTTGCACGTGGCACGTGCATAAGGGGTCACCCACATGCATCGGGAATAGTCCAATACTTGGTAGAAGGAATGAAGCTACCCTACAAAAATTACCGCGTGTAAATCGGTCAAGTGGTTGCTGAGATATAAGCCTCGCAAAAGCGTGACCACGGCCGGCCGGCCGGCCGGCCGCTCATACCCAGAAATTTCCGTTAATCTAAGGAAAGACTACGCTCGCTTCGCTCGCTCCGTAAAGACTCCGCTCGCTTCGCTCGCTCCGTAAAAATCCCATAACGCGGTCCCCTCCAATTCGGCGAACTTCATGAACAAAGCCTCCGTAACGTGGGTTAGATGCTACCGAGAGCTGACTGGAACGGTTTTCGTGCTGGATAGCTGTTTTGGAAAGCACTTTGCTATTACCCGTTTTATAGGTAACGGATAAGCTACCGAATCGCCTTCGTCCCGCTTTGGTGGCATCAAAGACATGTCACATGATATGCTAGCGCTCACGCTCCTTGCCCGTCTTGTTCTTATTGCAGGTTATGATTTCAACGAGGGCATTGACTATCACAAGCTCTTTGAAACATACAAGAACAGTGGATTCCAAGCAACGAATTTCGGTTTGGCTGTTGAGGAAATCAATAAGATGGTACGTTTTCCTGCGGCCATCGCTATCGTGGCTCCATGCTTCAGCGTGTTTAGAATATTGCCTTAGGCTTGCTTGACGTGTTTGACCTATGGCTCATTCGGCACGTTTCAATGCTATTCCAATCTACTGATAGTGTTATTTTGTTAGTTTATTACGTTCTTAGATCTGCAATGTAATCGTACGGCTCTCGCGAGATTAAGCGGTAGGTTTTGCACTTTTACATTTCCGGTTATATCTCAGAAACTAATCGATCTACGATGAAGCCATTTTACACGATCATGGCCGGCTTGTTACCCAACAAGTCCATCGCATCTTCAACATTTAAAAGCTTAAGACGACGAAGATATAGCCTGAAGTACACTAAATTTTCTAGGTGCAAAAACTACCGCTAAAACCCGCGAGACCTGTACATCTGCTTTGTAATGCTTTGCATATCTTAGGCATAATCTAATCTCTCTCGCTCTCTCTCTCTCTCTCTCTCTCTCTCTCTCTCTCTCTCTCTCTCTCTCTCTCTCTCTCTCTCTCTCTCTCTCCCTCTCTCCCTCTCCCTCTCCCCCTCCCTCTCCTTTCCCCTCTCTCCCTCTCTCCCTCTCGCTCCAGCTGGCGGCCCGCGACCAGCCGCTGGCCGAGGAGGACGCGCTCAGCGAGGACGAGTTCACCCGACGCCGCTCAGCCTGCACCGTGTTCCTCGGATACACGTCTAACATGGCGTCGGCGGGCGTGCGCGACACGATCCGCTTCCTGGTGCAGCACCGCATGGTGAGCGGCGGGTGGTGGGTCTTCGTGTGGGAGGTGGGAGGGGGAGGGGGGAGGTGACACCGGCAGAGGGGTCCCGTGGCAGTGGAGGCTGACGGTGCGGGGACGGGTGGTGACGGGTCCTGCGTGAGAGATCTGCGTGCAGTGGGGGGAGGGTTTGGTGTGTGTTTGGCCAGAGTGGTGAGGTATGCAGTAGGGGAGACCCGGGAGGTATGGGCCGGTTTTGTGAAAAGGCAATTTTCTTCCAGTGGGCAGTGGCTAGACCCGGTTTTTCACTCTGTGCGCGTGAAATTGCCTTTCGCCTACAACGTGTGCCTGATATTAGGCATCTGGGATCAACTGTTTTGTCTCCAGATAACTTCAAATAAATCATGTGATTTTTCGATCCATCAAAATACACCGGGAGGTATGGGCCATGGCCCAGGAGGTATGGGCCGGTGCCATGTTTCATATTATTTTCTCGACAATGAGAATATACTCGTAGCTGGTATCTGGGGCATTCCACGATAGATCGTACCACTTTTTTCCAATTTGACACCCTCATCTCCCGGAATTTGACGAGAATTGGTCTCAGGGGTAATCAGGGGCTCTGAATCCACCTGTAACAATTTCGGGCTTCTCAGATAAGTATTTTTTTAGTTATGGTGTATAACATTTTTTGGATCTTGCTTTACAGCGCTAAGTTTGGCGGGCTGTAACTCTAAGACGGATTATTCAAATGCCAAATGTTATATAACATTGAACTTGCAATGAAACAGAGATTAATATGCATCTTTGAAATTTCGAAAAATGCGCTATTTTTGATATATGACATATCGAGTTTTCTTTCATTTGTATTTTTTGGACTTATGGACCAAATTTTTTTGAATTCTTATTTCTTTAAAAAAAATATTTGGCTCATTGTTAAGAAGTATGCAAAAAATTAGGAAGGTGTTCTTTCTATAAATGTATTTATTTTACGTCACGATAACGGTTTCGAATAGTGATTTCGGGAGGGGAGCTTACAAATGGCGTGGTAAAGCTGCCTAGTGACATCACGGTTACTGAAATTTCAATTTAAGTCTGAGTCATCTGAAAAAAAGTGAAAAGAGGGTTCATCCAACCCTCTTTCCTATAAGCGCGAGGGTGAAAAAGGCTGTTTGGTTCTGACAATGTTTTGGAATTTGGACGCCAGTGACCATAGCTGTCCGAGATGAAAGTTACAGGACGCATACATGGTGTCCTCCAGAGGTCTCACAACTTTTATATCTGGGAATTTTTCAAGGTTACATGAGGTCAGGTCGGTCACGTGACATCAATGTTATAAATCAATGGGGGAATATAAAAACTGTTATTTTGGCGCCGAGAATGATCTAAAACTATCCCACGTACATGGTATCGTGATTTCATGCACCCCTTGCAAAGTTCAATGCTTTACTTTTGCATTGTTAACCTTGCTTGACGTCATTTATGACGTCACTAGGGTCGTACGAGTTTTTCGTCAATAACTCCCGATCAAATGGAGCTAGAGAGTCGGGAAAGTCACCAATGGACTCGGGAAGACCTTCCGAATCGAATGATATGCCATATGATACCCTTTGCCCAGCTTCATGACCTGAGGGGCTCTGACCTGACCTTGACCCGAGGTCAACTACTTAAGTTGACCTCACCCTAGCAAAAAGTATACCATTCGATGCACCTGAGCTAGGCGAACACAATGATGCCAAAATCGCGGCTCTGTGGCCATTTTTTGCGAAGTTATTTACTAAAAACCGAACCCGTAACTTCAGTCACGTGACCTGACCTCAGACGCTACCGGTTAACCTAAGACCTTAAAATCGGGTACCAATCGCTGCGACTTGTAACGGCACATACGCTCGTTTTTTTCCGCGAGGCTCTAGCTCTATTAGAAGCGAAACGGCGTGCTGGGGTCGTATCAACCCCTCCGAAACCCATTTTGTTTGCCGGAAAATGAGGAACTTATAGAAAGAACACCTTCCTAATTTTTTGCATGTCGATTTGCAATGACATGAAGTTTATTTGGAAAAATAAAAATGTGAAAAATTTTGGTCCCAAAAGTCATTAGAGGCAAATGAAAAAAGATTAAGTTTTTTGCTCAACAATGAAATTTTTTCTTTGGAATTTTTAAATAGTAGTATTAATTTTTGATTCATCGCAAGCTTACTGTTGTTTACTTTTTGTTGGTTGCTTAACCCGTTCTTGAGTTATAGGCCATCAAACTCACCGTTACATACTGAAGTTAAAAAAATGTAATGCAATATAACTCAAAAAGTTTTGATCTGAGAAGTCTGATATTTTGCCAGGCGTCTTTGGGGCCTATGATTACCCCTAGAACCGATTTTCATTAAAATCTGAGAGATGAGGGTGACGGGCCTGGTACGATCTATCGTGGAATGCCCCATCTACCTTAATCTCTCCTAGAGCCCAGGAACCGCATAAGCGGCCGACAGCTTACTTCATGGAGGTCACCTGGGCCCATATGTATTTTGGTAAACTCAAGCATGCACCATGAAATAAGATCAATAATATTTTTCTGTTCGAATGAAATTTGAAGTTAAATTTTCGACCTTGCGCGACAAAAATAAAACTTGTTGACGGGGATATTTAATGAAATAAACATTTTTGTTTATTTATGATCAACGGGGTTGGGTGGCCCGAACCTCCCGGTTAGGACGCCAGAATGTGCGTAGCATCTCAGCTCATAATCTTGCAAGAAAGATTCAAATTGTCTATCCAGCATTAATTTGCATGCTTTAAACTTTATGTTAGCGATGGTCTGACATCATAAAACAAGCCTGGTTCAAATTTATTACGAATTTTCTGTATGTACCGTATTTTACTCGAAGAGGGCAAAAACGCTTCATCACCGCTCATTGCCAAAGAAGACTGAGGAAGATTTTGAAAATCACGTGGGTTGTAAAACGGAATGGCTGCTACCAGTTAACGCCGTCAAATGTGTAAAAATACGTAACACTTCTTCAAAACTGCGATGGCCCATACCTCCCGGGTCTCCCCTAGGTCTCTGACGGTAGGTCGGGTGTATCAACTGGCATGTATGTTCGTCTGTGACAGTAGATGGACTGTGCCTGAGTTTGTGTCAGACTGACTGTATGTCGTCTACGATAGGCAGGACGGGTGGAGTCTATGATAGGGGAGCGATGTGCCGCCCCCGAGTCCTGACATGCTGAATGTGCCTGTGTTACATGCAGACTGTCTTTTACAGGTGGACTGTGTGGTGACCACGGCCGGCGGTGTGGAGGAGGACCTCATCAAATGTCTGGCGCCGACATACGTGGGCTCGTTCGAACTGGACGGCGCGTCACTGCGTAAACGAGGCATTAACCGGTCAGTAGCTGCGCAAACAGGGCATCAACCGGTCAGTATCCGCACAACTCGGACATTGCAATTGTGAACTGTTTTGCAAAGTTAATTCATTACTACACTACTAGGCCAACAGCCTGATGGCAGAAAAGAGAATGATGTACTTTCGAAATTGGTTCGAAGCTGCATTTGATATTTTTAAATTGTATGAAGCTCAGACCCAACCTAACCTGGGCCCTGTTCGGTCGCTGTTTTTATATCAGCGTGCTGTCGGTTTTTCCCATATAAGGAAGTTATTGCTGGTGCTTCTTGGCCTCTCATCGGTCTAACGAATAAACCACTTGAATTCGACCAATAAGGAGCCAAAAAGTAGCAGCATGGTCGCAGCCTGCTGATAAATAAACGGGGAGGGGGGGGGGCGAACAGAGATCAGGAATGTTTGATAAATCCTAATTGTACTTATCTACTCGTGTAGCTGTTTTTTCACAGGCTACAAATAAATAACGAATGTGTCTTTTTCAGCATCGGGAATCTGCTGGTGCCGAACGACAACTACTGCAAATTCGAGGACTGGGTGATGCCCATTCTGGACAAGATGGTCGTTGAGCAGGCTGAGCAGGTACTGATTCGATAGATGGGCTCCTGAACGCTTGTTAACGGTACAGCACCTAGTCTGTGTCATAACAGCGGCTCGTTGACAGTCGTTGAATTTCCTTTTTATGTTCGGGAGGGCTCTTTTCGGTCTTTTGCTGCCGTTGCAGAGCAGTGAAAAGAAATTCAACTCAATGCGAAATGAATTATCAGTCCAGTGACGGACAACGATAACCGCGGCGATCCCCGTCAGTCATCGCCTCCTCAGTCCTTACCGCCAGCGCACGCTGTGATCGCAGCTGTCACCAGTCTCGGTTGATAACCTGTGTACCCCAGGGCACGCTGTGGTCACCATCGTTAGTCCCTCAGCTGATAACCTTTTTACCCTTTCCCCAGGGCACGCTGTGGTCGCCATCGTTAGTCTCTCGGTTGATAATCTGTTCCCCTGATATTCCCCCAGGGCTCTGTGATCGCCATCGGATAACCTGTGTCTATCCTTCCCCAGGGCACGCTGTGGTCGCCATCGTTCGTTCCTCAGCTGATAACACATGTACACTGATAACCTTTATACCGTTTCCCCAGGGCACGCTGTGGTCGCCGTCCCGGATCACGGCCCGTCTCGGAGAGGAGATCGCCGACCCCAGTTCGGTGCTCTACTGGGCCGCCCGCAACCGAATCCCCGTGTTCAGTCCGGCGCTGACCGACGGCAGCCTCGGCGACATGATGTTCTTCCACTCGTACAAGCGGCCCGGACTAGTGGTGGACATCCTCTCCGGTAGGTGGCGCTGGCTGCGGCGGTACGGTCCTCGGGACGCGTATTTGGAAATTCCGACCTCGACGAGCATCTGTGGTAGAAAACCACCACTTTGGTAGGGGAAACTACTGCTATCTGCTACCATTTGCACTGCATGTGTCGCTATAGCTGCGACATCTATGCATATACATATAAACCGCGACATCTGTGTGCGCTGATTCTAGTTAACTTTATCTGTATAGTGATTAGCTAGGGCACGAGGGTGGATCCAGACTTTCAGTTTGACGGTGGGGGACTCATGGCCGGCCCGATCCCCGGCAGTCAAAGCTGCTGAGCGGAGGGGGGGGGGGAGGAAGGTCCAATATGATGCCACAAAAGACATGCCTATTGCCTATAGGTATATACGTATGTATTGGTATCAGCACTCGGCAGTGTGTCTCCTGAGATGTTAGTGATTTTTATCGATTCATCAAGTTGACGATTTGCTTTTCGCGCTTAAAAACGGCAGCGCTCCGCGTCGGTGTTTTTTAAATTTATTTAATAACTTTTAGCTTTAACTTAACTAATACCAATACGTACCAATACATACGTATATACTATATACCTATAGGCAATAGGCGTGGCATCATATTGGACCTTTCTCCTCCCCCCCCCCGCTCAGCAACCGGACTGTAGTGGATCGGGCCGGGCATGAGTTCCCACCCTTAACCAGGGATGCGGAGCCGTGGAACTTTCAGACGGCTCCGACTCCGGCTCCGGCTCCGGGTGAAATGTCATGGCGGCTCCGGCTCCGGCTCCGAGTAAAATGGTCCGGCTCCGGCTCCAATACTCAGTGCATATTAAATGCGGGTGGCAGAAAAAAAGATGGGATTGGCCTACGTCGCTTCTGCATTTGCATAACAAGTCTATTTTTATATTTTGAGTACCGCATGTTTTACTGCCTGAAACTGCAAGTTCAAGGCAGTTCGGTTTGACAAACCGAACTAGGTCAATAATTTTTTCCTCTTAAAAAAAGGAGCCGTAGTCGCCCCTTTTTTTGACAGCTCCGGCTCCGGCTCCTGCTCCGGGATATATTGTTTCAAGGCTTCGGCTCCGGCTCCGGGTAAAATATGCCGGCTCCAGCTCCGGCTCCGGCTCCGCACCCCGGCCCTGCCTCAAACTGAAAGCCTGGATCCACCCTGGTGCCCTAGCTAATCGTTGGTAGCAGACAGCAGTAGTTTCCCCTACCAAAGTGGTGGTTTTCTACCACAGATGCTCGTCGAGGTCGGAATTTCCAAATACGCCTTCGGGACTGGGGCCTCAGGGCTGTAGACTTGTAGGTGGCGCCGGCGGTGTGCGTGTGTGTGTGGTGCCTCCAGACACGGGCTCCAGTTGGTAGCTGGTGTCAGCGTTGCTTTTCCCCGATCCCTGCCCCAGAGTGGTAGGTGGCGCTTGTGGTGGCACGTTCCCCCGCCTTGGTGTGGCTTGGGAGCAGATGTCGGCGTGGTACGTACATTAACCTAACACAAGCTAAAGTCTACAGTTTTAGACACCTTCCGCTTACCTAAGGCTCAAAACTAAAACTACAGCTATAGCACATTTTATCCTGCAGTGGAATTGTAGAGGTTTAAAACCAAACTTCCAGGACTTGCAATCGGTCATACGTGGGCGCAACCCCTTCATAATCTGTCTCCAGGAGACCAAGCTGGCGCCAACTATGACTTGCACCATCAGGGGCTATGCCGTCTTCCGCAGGGACCTGCATTCGGACACTATAGCACATGGTGGTGTCCTCATAGCAGTGCACCACAGTCTGCCAGTCACACCGCTCCTACTGAACTCTCCTCTGCAAGCAGTAGCTGTGAGAGTGCACCTATACCGCCGGGAAGTGTGAGCTCCCGGCACCAGTCCTTGTGGTGGGCGACTTCAACGCTCATAGCACGGTATGGGGATGTGATCACATCGGCCCACGTGGTTTTGCCTTAGAAAGTTTTATTTGCGATGAGTCGCTTTGTATTTTAAATACAGGGCAGCGAACCAATTTTACTCTGCCTTCCGGCCAAACATCGGCGCTTGACCTGAGTTTGGCAAGTCCGCTTCTAGCTCACCTCTTTACTTGGTCGGTACATGACGACCTACTCGGCAGTGACCACTTTCCGGTGTGGATTGCGTACCAGGATACCCCGACACTGGGGAAGCGCCCACAACGGTGGAACCTGCATAAAGCCGACTGGGCCGAGTTTTCCGTTTTGATGGAAACCTCGTTGTCCAGTGCCGACGGCTGTATTCCATCGGCGGAAGCTTTTACGTCTTTACTTTTAAGCTCCGCCGAAGCGTGCATCCCTAAGACACCAGGACAGCCCCACCGCACTCCCGTCCCTTGGTGGACGGAAGAGTGTAGGAACGCAATCCGAGCACGGAAACGCCCCTTCAAGCAGTTTAACCGAAACAGCACCATGGAGAACCTCATCGCTTTCAAAAAAGCGCGGGCTTTTGCACGACGCACAATCAAAGAGGCAAAGGTCAGATCATGGCGCTGGCGCACCTACGTTAATTCTTTAAATCGGTCTACTCCGACGAGCCAGGTGTGGTCACGCATAAAGCGCATCTCGGGACTGCTCAGCTCTTCTCCACTTCCGACTCTGAGGGTGAACAACTCTGATATAATACATCCTTTTGATGTCGCGGAGGCTATAGCTAGAACACTCTCAGAGCGCTGCCGGCCGGGGTGACGCTCCCTCGCAGCCCGCACTAGGGCGAGCCCGACCCCAGCTTGGCTTGGCGGATTTTTCCACTGACGAACATATAGAATATAACGAGCCTTTTACAATGACTGAACTGAAGCACGCCATATCCTCGCTTCGAAGTGTCGCCGAGGGCCCAGACGCCATTCACAACTCCATGTTGAAGCACCTTCCTTCTATCGCCCTGGAAACACTGTTAGCGATATTTCACTCGCTATGGGAGAGCGGTTTGTTTCCTGCAGCATGGCAAGAGGCCACGGTGATCCCCATTTTAAAGCCTGGCAAGTCGGGACTTGACCCACTTCACTACCGTCCTATCTCATTGACCTCTGCTCTTTGCAAGTTGATGGAGAAGATGGTGAATGCTCGCTTGAGTTGGTTTCTGGAACATAACGACATTTTTACGGACGCGCAGTGTGGTTTCAGGAAACACCGCAGTTCAGTTGACCATATCTTAGCTCTTGACACCGAAGTGAGGACCGCTTTTACCGAAAAGAAACACCTTGGGGCTATCTTTTTTTATATTGAGGCTGCTTACGACACAGTTTTACGGCAGATCATCTTGAGGAAGCTTCTCAGCTATGGTATCCGTGGCTGTATGGGCTTTTTCATTTGCAACTTTTTATCTTATCGCACCTTTCGTGTCAGGGTTGGAAACCACTTGTCCAGCTCCCACCTTCAGGAGAATGGTATTCCACAGGGAGGCGTCTTGAGTGTGGCACTTTTTGCTATCATGATTAATGACATTGGCGACAGACTCCCAACGGCTATAGGGAGATCCCTTTTTGTCGACGATTTGGCGGTATGGTTCTCCGCCTCAAGTGCGCGGCACACGTCACGACAACTTCAGCTTGCTGTGACGCGTTTAGAAAAGTGGAGCAAGGATAATGGCCTTAAGTTCTCAACTTCAAAGACTGGCTGTTCACTTTTGCCGCCGCCGCTGCCACGATCCTGATCTTGGAATCCGCCTCTACGGGCGAAATATCCCCACGCAGCCGGTTGCAAAGTTTCTTGGTGTTGTTTTGGACAGACGTCTGACGTACAACGAGCATTTTAAAACTCTTCGTGAGAGATGTTTTAAAACTCTAAATATTTTAAAATGTGTATCACGTACGTCGTATGGAGCTGACCGACGAACCTTGCTTTTACTTTACCGCTCTCTGGTACGTTCAAAGCTCGACTACGCAAGTTTCATTTATGACAGCGCCAGCGAGTCGCGTAAGAAAATGCTTGACACCATTCACCATGCCTCACTTCGCGTTGCTACGGGTGCTTTCCGTACTTCGCCAACAAGCAGCGTTCTGGCTGAGGCTCACGAGCCACCGTTATCTCTCCGTCGCCAGATGTTGGGCATGCGGTATGTTTTAAAACTTCGTCAATTTCCCTCGCACCCGGCATACCCGTATGTCTTCTCGCGAGAGATCAGTCGGTCTGACAGAGTGGCTGGTCGATCGACTTCCTTCGGTGGACGTATGCAAGCTCTCTTCTCAAAAGCAAACATTTCTCTTCGCGGCGTGAGGCGCACGTGGAGCGCGCCCTTGCCGCCCTGGAGAAATGCGTATCCACGAATCGATCTTTTACTGACAGACATCAGGAAGGACGATCAGCCGCCATGCACACTACGAGCACGGGCGCTGGAACACATTGCCTCATATGATGGTTTTACCTCGGTTTTTACAGACGGCTCGAAAACAGAACATGGTGTCGGCTGCGCTTTTGTGACTGGTCATGACACACGCACATTCTCTTTGCCAACTTCTGCCTCTGTTTTTTTTCTTCCGAGCTCGTTGCGATTGAGAAGGCTTTGTGTTTTATCGAGGTGTCTGACAGCTCCTGCTATCTGATTTTGTCAGACTCCCTTAGCAGCCTCTTATCTTTACGGAGTTTTAATCCAGACAACCTGATAGTACAAGACATTGTATCTCGTCTTACGTCGGTGGAACGAGCAGGTAAATTCATCCAGTTCTGCTGGATACCGAGCCATGTGGGCATAAGAGGCAACGAGCTTGCCGACGCGGCCGCAAGACGCGCGGCCGCGGCCCCCTGCCTCCGTCGTTTGCCTCTGCCGGCTCGCGATTTTTACCCAGCCGTTCGATCTTTTACGACGTTTAGCTGGCAGACAGAGTGGCGTCTCCATGGATCTGAGAAGCTACGAAAGGTGAAACCTACTCTGGAGCCCTGGCAGTCCTGCTTTCAAGGCAAAAGACACCATGAAGTGGTCCTCTGCAGACTACGGATAGGGCATACGTATGCAACGCATGGCTATCTCCTCCGTGGAGATGATCAACCAACATGTAGCCATTGTGCCGTGCCGCTCACAGTCACTCACATTCTCTTAAGTTGCCCGCACCTCGAACCAAACCGGACACGCTGCCTCGGCCGCATTGCCCCAGGCACCACCATTCGCCACCTGCTGGGTGATGACTCACCCTGGGTTTTATCCGGCAGCATCTTTTCTTATATTCAATCCATCAGTTTTCCTGTGATATACAGGGTGTCCGGAAATTGATTGCGCACTCTTCTAGTCCACTTTACAAGGAAAGAAACCATGCATGGGTCATGGTTTATTTACGGATATACCCTCCACCCAATCGCACACATTCCCTCATACGGTCGGGCATGCCACACATCAGGTTATACAATGTCTCTGCACTAATGCTGAGCCACGCTCGCTGGAGGTTCCTGATATGCGCCTGCTCGGTGGTAGCCGGCTCCATCATGTCGAGCTCGCTCTGCACGATAGTCCGCAAGTTCTCGATGGGAGACGGGTCAGGGCTGCTGCCCAGCCATACACCCTTGTCCCAAAGCCCTGGGAGGTTGTCCCAGCACCACTGTTGAGTGCTGGCGTCGTGATGAGCTGAAGCACTGTCTTGCTGGAAGATCGCCTCGGACATCTTCGGCACATCTTCGGGAGCAGCTCGACCTGTGTTGGCGCCCCCGTCTGCCTCTTCCGCTTATCGCGGACGCTGCAGACTCCTTCAGAACTCCTTTGCGTAGTACTGGGCCGTCACGGTCTGACCGCGAGAGACGATGTGGAGCTCTGACAAGCCCTGATGACTCATCATGGCTCAGACCATGATTTTCAGTGGCTGCTTCACCGTGTCGATGGCAGGCACTTCAGCACTGCTGTGCGCCCAGACGCGCTCGTTCTGGCGATTCAGCGGGTGCATGAGCTCGAACACAGACTCATTGCTGAACAAGACGCGCCGCCAGTCCTGAATGCTCCAGTTCTTCTGCTCCCGGGCTTTTGGTTCTGCTACCAGACGCTTCCGCTTCTGGGCTTCGGCCAGTTTTGGCTGCCGGCGCAGATTGAGCGGTTTGAGACCCAGGCACTTGGCCATGTAGTTGTGAACAGTGGTCTTCGACACCGCTTGACCCATCTCAGTCAGCTTTTTGGCCAGTTTCCGCGTCGATTGGCGCCTTTTCAGCACCGCCTTAGCGAGCACGTTTTTGGCCACTCTGCTCAGCACAGTTTTTCTCCCACGGCCCTTGCGATTCTCCAGTGCTGCACCACTGCGGTCGAGAACCAGTCAGTAATGAAGGGTCCGGCGAGATACATCCACTTGTCGGGCAACATCACCTACCGTCATCCCGGCTTCAACCATCCTAACCGCGCGGTAGCGCGTCGCTAAAGTGTGCTCCCTCACCATTCCCGATATGGGGTTCGCGCGCGAAGACAACCTCTCGGAAAGCAACCTGTGGCCACTCACTGCGGCTGGGGTCAGGTCACCTGCTGGATCACGTGATCACCTGACACGCTGGGGTGCCCGGGGGTGGGGTCGCGAACCTCCCCAACCGGTTTGGCGGGAGCACGTGCGAGATACGTGAATATGGACAGTGTGCAATCAATTTCCGGACACCCTGTACCTACTCGTTTTACTAGTATAACGTATCTCAAGTAGTTCTAGTCTTCTTCAGTTCGTCAGTTCTCTGTTGACATATCCGCTTTACCAGTACAGCGTTATGGGCGCAAAATGACCACCGCAGTCGACGCGCCCGTAAACCCCAATGAACGAACGAACGAACGAACCTCAGTCATAACTAATGCCCGCGCGGTATCGAATCGAATAACGCGGTGTCCTGCTCAAATAGCTTTAAGAATATGATGTAAAACAATGCGTTTCTAGAATGTAGTCGTTACAGAATGATAGGCTCTGCTCCCATTCGAACGCCTGATGACACCCGACACTATGTTTGGTGGTACATGATACCACTTCCTTACACCGTCTGTGCCGACACCTGACAACACCTCCTGACACTGTGCGCTGACACCCGCAGACCTGCGTCGGCTGAACTCGATGGCGATAAAGGCGCAGAGCACGGGCATGGTGATCATCGGCGGCGGACTGGTCAAACATCACATCTGCAACGCCAACCTCATGGTGAGTGACGGCGGCCAGACTAGGGGTCCGATGGGCGGGCAGACGTGTTCACATTTGACCTTATACGAGTATACACACGTACAGCGATACATATTTTCATTGCTGCAGGAGCCGACCATATTTGAATAGCGAATATAGCCGATGTAATTATATTGTAAATGGCAATGTCCACTATAACTCATTATAAGACGCTATTTCTCCGTGGCCACACCATCGTATCATGAGACCCGGCTTGCCTAGAGAACGTCTACGCTACGTCTACACTCGTCGAACGCCACCCGTTTTTGTTTGCCTATGCCGTGTGAGCGACTCGTTAATGTTCAGTCTTTTTGTTTTTGTGCGCCACACCTCACCACAACGTCTCGCATTTCTGTCCCGCTGCTCCCATCCTCCGGAGTCTGACCGCCCACTCTCCCTCTCAGCGGAACGGCGCCGACTACTCGGTGTTTCTGAACACGGCCGCCGAGTTTGACGGCAGCGACTCGGGCGCGCGGCCCGACGAGGCCGTCTCCTGGGGAAAGATTCGACCGGCCGCCAAAGCCGTCAAGGTGGGTCCCCCGGACGAGCCAGGGAACCGAGAGGAATGAGTCTGGGAGCGGGGATGGACCGGTCGAGTCGGGCCTCGGGAACTGGGGGTGGACCATGCGGCAGTCGCGGCTGGGTCTTGGACGCTTCGTGATGGCGTTACGAGTGGGGAGGTGACGACAGGCACGAATCACCACATAGCATGAGCGGAAGGGCGATATTTTATTGATGCAGCGCCTCTCAACCCCAATTATCATATTCACGAATCAATATCGCAATTAATATCTAGTGTCACAAATGGCGTACAGTCATATAATTGACATCATTATGTTCAGTGTTGGCCCTGGCCCCCCTAACTATGTGGTGATTTGCTTTGATTAATACTGTAATGATTTGAAGAAATGACTGCTAACAGACATTCAAACAGAAATGTTTTTCACATGTCGACACCTTTTTTTAAACCCCATATTTGTTCTCCGGTGAATTTCAGACAAGTTGGTTAGAGACCTTCAAAAAAGGTACAATCACTCGATTTTTCTCAAGTTTTTCTGTCTTGGCAGATAAAGCAATACCAGAACAGGCCTACGAACACAAATATTTGATCAGGATCGGACGAATGGACACTTTTAAAAGGAGATCTTTCGTGCCTCCCGGAAATTCACGGGAGAGCAGATGTGGGGTTTAAAAAAAAGGTGTCGATGTATGGTATCTCCTGGTATGGTATGGTATGGTGGAGTTGCTTATCCATAGTGATTAATGACGTTATTGCGATTTAAAGTGATGGCACGACAACATATTTTATGGACTGTATTCCGTATGACAGGCCATGATGTGCCTGCATTTTAGATAAGGCTTTACTAGACTAGTTGTTTCAGTTTACTTCCAATGTTTTGATAAAAGGTACAAACAGTGCGGGGTGGGAATTTTTTGTTTGGTTTGGTCGTAGACTAATTAAATAATCACTGGTCGCGTGGGAGCTGACACTCCCAAGGCAAGGCACGTTCGTTCAGTGGCTAAGCACGCTGCTCGAGGTCAGGACGGGTGCAGTTGGTCACAACGGCACTGGTAATTTGTGAATAGTTGATATCAGAGGAGTGGGGCTCGATAGACGCCTCCGTAAAGGCAGTCTTTAGATGGGGCGTTCCCAGCGCCTGTGACACCTATGGATGGCTGCCTCCGCACATCAGTCATCGGCGCCGGCCCATTTCCCCCGCCTGGTGCGCGGGCTCCACCCTCCTGACGGGTACGCCACACACCAATCGCTATAAAACAATGAAAATAATTGCGATCCGCGACAAAATGGCCAGTTCGCCTTCGCGCAAGGTGAGGATAGGAAATAGGAATAGACACTTTTTTGTTGGATGATGACTCCTTTTTTCCCGTCGGTAAGTGTTTAATTATTTTTGTTTGTGTTACCCGCAGGGGCGTAGGCAGGGGGGGGCACTGGGCCATGGCCCCCCCCCCCCCCCTTGGGCGCCGAAGGCGCCCTTTGCGATTGGAGGGCGCCGAAGGCGCCCTCCAATCGCAAATGCAATTGTGATATAATCGAATCGAAAAACAATCGCGACTGGAGGGCGCCCTCCAATCGCGAATGTGTTTACAGGGAAAATACGGATGGAGGGCGCCCTCGGAGGACGCCCATTCCAAATACGCCCTCCAAATACGGTTGGAGGGCTCCCTCGGGCGCCCTCCAACCACATTTGTAGGCTGTAGCTCTCTAAGCGTAACGGTGGTCGCCTATGTAAGCCGCTGTCCTGTAAATAAGCGCCCTCTCACCCGAAGGCGCCCTCCTGTAGGTTGCCACCCTGCTACACATTGCCGCCCTTCTGCTGATCGGCGTCCTCATAATTATTGGCGCTCTTCTACCTATTGCGCCCTCATGTGAAATTTTGAAGGCCGCCTTTCTCCCTTTTGGCACCCTCTTGTTCAGTGCCGCCCTCCTACCTATTGGTTCCCTAGTCCTTCCTGTTGAATGCTAATCGGGGCCCTTCTCCTATTGGCGCCCTCGTGTTGATCGCCGCCCTCCTAACCACTGGCACCCTCCTGTTGATCACCGCCCTCCTATCTACTGGCACCTTCCTGTTGACCAGCGCCCTCCGCACAGACGCCCTCCTGTTCGTGTCATCCTCTTGAGCAAAGGCGCCCTCCTCACCATTGCCACCCCCATTTTAATCGTCACCCTTCCGCTCATTGGCGACTTGCAGTTGATGACCGCCCTCCCACCTATTGGCGACCTCTTGTTGATCGCCACCCTCCTATTGGTGCTCTCCTGTTCCTCGCACCCTCTTACCTGGTGGCGCCCTCCTGTTGATTGTTGATCGGGGCCCTCCTACCTATTGGTGCCCTCCTGTTGATCGCTGCCCTTCTATCCATTTGCGCCCTCCTGCTGCTCGCCAACTTCCTACCTATCGGTGCCCTACTGTCGAAACTCGGGATGTTGATCGGGGCTCTTCTACCTATTAGCGCCCTCCTGTGGATCGCAGCCCTTCTACCTATTGGCAACATTCGTTGATCGCTGCCCTCCTATCATTTATTTACTCCTTTGGCATGTTCTTCAACTTAGTCGTTCTATTGCACATAGTTGATGTCTTGCCTGTGAAAACTGCCACAAATGAACGTGCATTCAGCACAATGAATGAAGTACCTATACCTACCAAAACTATCTACGCTCTACGATGCATAAAACACGTCTTTGGTCTTAACGGATTGATCCTACTTTACGTGCATCATGGCATCTATATGTATTACGATTAAGTATTGTCAACAGGTTCGGCCGCAACAGCAGGCATCTGAAGTTTCGGTGATTGAAACTGGTTATGTGGGTACACTGTATGCACCTGGCTGGAGAAGGCTATGAAGGCTGGTCTGAGGTAATTTGGATGATGTTTACGCATCTCGCGCTCCGGTATCAATCCGATACGGTGATCTGGTGCGTAGATATGCCACCGCTAATAAACTTTTATACATCGACACCCATGAGCCAAGCTTTCTATACAGTTTGTGTGGCAGCGGCCCGACCAAACCTTAGGTATTTTTTATACCTTCAAATTTGGTAAAAGAGCGAGAGGAGCTTTGAACAGTGATCGTATAAAAGGCGTGCCTAAAAAGCGGAGGAAAAGGTTGTTTTCAAAAATTTCGCGCGCCTTCGGCGCAGCATTTCAAGACCACTCGACCTTTTGTGACCTGGAGTATAAAGAATACACACGATGCAAAATCAATGCAGCACGACCTATACGAGGTTACGCAAAAAAAAAACTGGTGGCATGGTAAAAAACGCCTCCCAACCCCCCCCCCCCCCCGTTGAGTGATTTTTTATCTCGCGACCGTATGGCGCCCTCCTTGGGTGAGGTGGCGCCCTCCAAACCCTTGGCCCCCCCTTCGCGATTTCCTAAATACGCCGCTGGTTACCCGTTGCTATTATTTTCACGGTTCTGTCATGTGGCATTAATATTCAACCTCTAGCGGATCATTATTCCCGGTCAATGCTGATAGCAACAGCATTTTTACTTTTTCTTGACCACGGGGGTGGGTTTAATAGTTCTTCTAAGGAGTTAGAATCGAGTATTGTTGGGTTACTAACATCCTAAATATTTGTTAGGTTTGTCTCACAGTTCTATTTCTTTTGTGAGTGAAAGGACGGGGATACCAATCACCCTCGCCAAGTGCTCTCAGTCTCAGGGAGCGTGATCTAGCTCGTGAGCATGTGAGCGGCCCCCCCCCCCCCCGTCCCCACAAAGTGCTCAGTTCACACCGCTGCCCTCCCGACAGACCGGCTGAGCTGCCCTCCCGGCTGCGTTTCAGATCTGTGCCGAGGCGTCGCTGGTGTTTCCGCTGCTGGTTGGCGAGACGTTTGCGAGGCACCACTTCAGCCGAACGGGAGAGCGGCGGGAGGGTGCGGCGGCAGCAAACGGGCCGGCGCCCTAACCACAGACGGGTCGGCGCCCTAACCACAGACGGGCCGGCGTCTAACCACAGACGGAGGGCGCCCTGACCACAGACGGGAGGGTGCGGCGGCAGCAAACGGGCCGGCTCCCTAACTCCCGCCCAAGGCCCGGTACTTTAGTGACTGGCACTGCCGACGGTACAGTACCGAAGGTCCGGTGCTGTAGGGTTGATCGGGTAATGCCGAAGGTCCGATGCTATTCATCGTTCAATGCTGACTTTTTGTTGTGTAGTGTTGATCCGGTGCCGCTGGAGGGTTCACTGCTGCCAACGGTCTGGAACTGCAGCATCGGTACGGTCAGCTATGGGTCCCATTAACACGGCTGTGCAGTATGCGGGCATGGTATCCATCACCATTGCAGGTGCCCCTACGACTCTTCACCCGGCTATTTGCCGTTAATGTCACTGAAATGGGAAGTGGGTACGTCGGCGTTTTATTGCAGCTGTGCGGTGGGAAATATGTGATCGTTATGCTGGTCAATGCACTGACAATGTTAACGGTCGCATTCAGTGAGCGTTCCACTCGCACTGTTACGCTGCCGCTGTGCACTGTGATGAGACCAGTGTGCATGACGTAGAACAGGGAACCTTGCGACCAGTGTTTTAATTCCGCGGCGAGAAAACGGGTACCCAGGCCATGCCACTTCGTTTGTATGATCCTCGCTCGGTTGTCTGTTGCTGTGCTGCCCAGCACTGTTGCGCTTGCATGTAACTTTGTTTGTGCCTTTACGGTTGTATCTAACGACGGAGCTGCTAGTGTGACTGCCAGCCTGTGGGTTAAGCCGGGAACTGTGGGTGAGGCCCGTGCGGGAGTCTTCCTATTGATCCCTGTGCGGGTCCGCCCGCGGTGACCTGTCCGGCGGCCCAGGCCTGTGACCGGAGGTCGCACCGGCCGGCCGTGCGCCCTTGATTCCGTTTCGCCAGACATGTTCACCGCGTGCACGTTCGTGTGGCGTGACGAGCCGTGTGATCGTGACGGCGTCACGTCCGTCACACGTGGGACTGGGGGGAGTGCGTGTGATGGGTCAGGTGGCGCGGTCTGTCGACTGCAGCTGACACCGTCCCTTGGTCAGATAGCGGGGGGGAATAAGTCGGTGATACAGGGGAATTGGTACCGATTGCTGACCCTTCCCGGGCCAGATGATGGTTTGTGTGTGTGTGTGGGGGGGGGGGAGGGATGACCAGTCAGGTGGCACAGGGGCCGACTGCTGACCCCGCCCCAGATCAGATAGCGGGGGGGGGGGTATAAGTCACTGGTACAGGGGGTCTGCTGACTGCTGACCCCGCCCTAGGTCAGATAGCGGGGGGTATAAGTTAGTGGTACAGGGGGTCTGCTGACTGCTGACCCCGCCCCAGGTCAGCGCGCGACGCGCCGCTTTCTCGTCCCCGTAGACACTGTGATGGGCGCGGACTGCTCATGTGAGAGCTCATTTGGCGCGGGTTGTAAGTCAGGTGTTTTGGACAGATTTTGTTGACTGTTTATATTGTGATGATTTTGTTGAGGAATGACGTGTTATTCGATATTTGAAATAAATTGTGAAAGTCCGCGAGTTTTGTAAAGCATCCACTTGCCGTTTGTTGCCGACGGTTCTAATCTTTACATAGACACAGGGCTTCTGAGTTCTGACCCTGTAGCTTTGTGCAAGGATTGTGCTCACCACTAGCGATATCGCCTCGTCTCCGCCCAGTACTGTATTGTCCACCACCTCTCCGATGACCGGATCACACGCTCAGTTGCTCCCACACGCTGGTCACAGCTGCGGGCGGCCAGTGAGGCGGCGGGCCCGGCTCGGCCGGCGAGCTGTTAACCCGCGCCCGGCTGGGGGTCCTGGATTTCCACGCCCTGCTGGGGGGGGTGTTTGAACACCCCCCCCCCCTTGTAACTCGGCTCCTGGGCCACGTAGCGATACGCGGAAGGCGGCGTTCGAAAGAGCGTCAAAAATAATGACGAAATCACTTCGGTCAATTTTTTGGTCAGGTCAAAGGTCAGGTCACCAGAGGTCATTGAAGGCAAAATTTCGCCGATTTCCAGGTCGAATGGCGAAAATTTCCAAGAAGCCAACGTATAACTCGGGAACCAATAGAGCTACAGCGCCGCGGAAAAGCGCATTCGATAGCCCTATTAACGCCCTTTCTGAGTAATGCTCTCAGATTTGACCTAACATCAACGGTTTTGCCTGCAGGGGGCAAAAACTACAAAAATAGCCGATTTTTTTGGAAACAGTTTTTCTGCAATAACTTTTGACCCAAGCCCTGTACGAGCTTACTTTTACCGGCATCGTGTTCCTCTCGTCAAGACGCATCGAATGAACTATAACTTGACCTTGAAAGGTCAACTTGAAAATTTGACCTCAGGTCAAGGTCATGACCTGGCCGGAAAGGGTCATGTTGCATATCAGTCGATCCGTATCGTCGAGCTGAACACATCTAAGGCGTTTTCATCGCTCTAGCATGCCTCTATCAAAAGTTATTTGCGAAAAACTGTTAGATACCATTCGTGACCTAAGATGACCTCAGGGCATAAACAAGGGTCACGGACACCATTTTCATGTTCAGTGTGTCTAAACCACTTGTAATTCGGTGTTTGGGAGTGTTTATAATGTCTTTCATCCAAAAGAGGCGCATTTCAATTTTCTCCCATTGACTTATAATGGGGAGGTCGCAAAATTGACCTGACCTTAGGTCATCGATATCAAAATTCTGAGATATACATTTTGTACATGCTATTGCTCTTAGCAATCGCTGAAAGTTTCAAAGCGATCGGTCACTCGGTGTAGCTATGACAGACATTGAAACTTTTTATGAGGTGAGGTCACTTCAAGTGACCTGGTGACCTGACCTTGAATGACCTTGGTCTGAAATTTTCACAACATGTGTAGAATTGATGTATGATAAGGTGTACCAAAAACGGCGGCGCTCCGCGCCGCCGTTTTTGAGATATTCGCGAAAAACCACAAGGGGGGGTGTTCAAACACCCCCCCCCAGCAGGGCGCGGGTTAAGCGACCACAGCCGAGCGGCGGGCCACTGCTCGGCGTGCTTTGTCACCATTGGGTGTGTAGTCTGTAAATGCGAGGAGCACCGAGGGTGTAAATTTGCAGTTGTGCCCCGAAGAGCCGCACCAAGTTTCAAATGGCCCGGTGTATTTTGTCTGGGATCAATGACATGTTGCATGCACCAAATAATGCCCACAGAAAAGTAGTCACACTGGGTTTCAAACATCGTATGTATGCTGGTCTGCTAGCTGATGCTTGGAAGGTCCATTGTTCTCCGTGAACACTGACCACTGAACGTGAATGTGAGTTGTGTAGTGTGTACGCAGCCATAGGTATGCTTTAGCATTAGTATTTCAATTTTCACGGACAGATTAATTGATATCCGTGGCCGGCAGTTATGCTACGCCATTTTATATTTACGAAGTAAGGTCTGTACCGATGTAATATTCTTATCATGTCATTTCGCATAATGTCCTGCTGCAATTTACCATAACATGGTAAGTAATGTTCATGCATGAATATTTGAATCCTTAGTCACAACACATAAATAGACCGTCGTACGGACTTGGTTACTGCTTGGGTGCGTGAAACTGTCGCATTTGCATTCCATTGAAGCAAATTGTATTGTCTATGCGCGTAGGTCAAAGTAGTTGTGTCCCGCGCCAATGTCACATTTCCTGGACACGGCGGTGCCCAGGCCTCGGTGGTCCTAATTGGCGGCATCGTCCACTGAATTGATGATGCCTGTGTGTCGGGGCGGCGCGGGCGCGGCGCGTGTATGTGTTGTCGTTCCCGGGGCGACCGGGTGTTGTACCGGAGGCGTCCGCCCGCACCGGAGGGAGCAGCTCGGGCAGCGCCGCCTCGGCCGGCGGTCTTTCGTCGAACGGTCGGCGCCGAGTGTCGGGCACTCCACGGCACCGCGTCAGTCAGCGGCGTAGCGTGGCCGTCCAGTCCGAGCCAGCGCCTGAAAGGACGCAGCGCCGGCAACTGACTGAGATTGCTCGCTCTTGTAGGATTGGGTGGCCGGCCAGACCAGTGGAGTGTGCTCGCATTATCACGTCGTCTGCGCTGGTCCCTCGGCGGCAGGATGGCTGACGCGGACGACCTGAAGGTGGACGATGTCGAGGAGGGGCCGGAGCCGGGAGCCGCCGGGGACGGAGGGCCGGAGCGGGCTCCGCCGGCGTACGGAGGTGCCCCGCCCGAGGAGCGCCCGGCCGAGGCGCCCGCCTCTCGGCCGCAGTCGGGGGCGGCGGGGGGCTCTCAGCCGTCCTCGGCCCGGGCGCGCGCCTCGGCCAAGGTGCACCCGGAGCCGGAGCCGGAGCCGGAGCCGGAGCCGGAGCCGGCGCGCTCCGACCCGGAGAAGGGAGCCGCCGCGGAGCCGGTCGAGCCGCCGCCCGAGTGGGCAGAGAGGTGGCTCTCCAACCAGAACAAGGCCGACAAAATGAACGCCTTCCGACAGTACATCGAGTGAGTTTTAAACGTACACAATTAATCGTCAATACGCACTTTTCTGTTACAAGCTGAGGCATTATTTATCCGTTATGAAATCATCCACATGAATGCTTACACTTTCATGATCAGCTCGGAAAAGTTGTTGGTGAATAGATATTTCCTCGTCTGTGGAAGCTCCACTAGTAGTTCCGTTGCCCTGTCTCCAGCGCCCTCACCCCTTCCCCCCGGTGCCGTGCAGGCGAGTCCAGGACCAGGCTGAGGGCCCGGTGGCGAGCCCATCAGCCGAGGAGCGGCACGCCTCCGCCTACTGGGTGACCAATCGGTTCCTGCTGGACCGGTGCTCGGCGCACGGCGTGCCGCACATCATGCGCCATCCGAGCCGATGGCGGCGCCTCTTCTGGGCGCTGGTCGTGGTGGGCGCGCTGGTCGCGCTCGTGGTCCAGGTGCGCGCCACACTCAGCGAGTACCTCCGGTACCCCAAAAAGGTCACCATCGAGGTGAGTGCATGAGTGAGTCATGGATACGTTATGCCCTGTGATCGTGCGGTCCGGTTAGTGGCGGGAAACCATCCCGTCTTGATGAATCACCTACATATTTTGCCGGTATTTGTGTAGTTTTGGAATGAATATTTTCTTAAATTTGCTCGCTATTCAATAGCACAATTACTTGTAAGCAAAAATAATGTGACCTTTTTGGGTCACTGCCGGTAGTGTGTCCTCAAAGAGACAATAGGTATACTCTAACAAGTATAATCCCCAAAAGCATCAGGCACCACCATAGTCGTTACAACGCGCTCGACAACTTTTTGACTGGAACTGGTAGGTACCGACAATTAATCAGCCCCCTCCCAAGAAATACTCGACTGGCTCCGTCTCTGCCTGGAAAGCACATTTGCGGTACAGGATGGGGCCGTTCTTATATAGGCAGGGCTCCACCACCATTTCAGAATAGAGGGGGGGGGGTCTGACCCAAAAATGCACACATTAGGGGCTGCATTACGGAAGTGAAATCGTTGGGGGCTCCTAACCCCCGTGATCCCCGGTGGCGGAGCCCCTGATATAGGCAATGCCCGGGGAACGAATGCAGGATCGCTCTATTGCGCACGTATGCGTGCCTGTATGCTTACCTAACTAACTATCTTGGTGCGCTTATGCGTCATTTTTACGGGGGCTGTGCAAAACGTCCATTGTATTCGTCCGTTCTATCCCATTCCGTTCGCTATGCTATGACCGATATAGTCCTTTTTAGTAGTTCGATAACAATAGTGCTTGTGACACGTGCTTTAACGCATGAATGGGAAGCCTGTTTTGTTCGATTCAAACAGTTAATTTTATAATTGTATTCGGGTTTGTTTTCAGATTCTGGAAGATAGCACTCCAGAGTTTCCGTCCGTCACTATCTGCAATTTCAACATCCTCAGCTCTGATAAAATGTCGGAGCTGGACAAATACAGAGATATCGTCAGCTTAGAACAGGACATTGCAGACCAGGGAAGTAAGTAGTGGATCCTTTCTATAACTCATAAATCTGGCTACTCAATACACAACACATCATTTCACACCAATTTCAAGACGTATTCCGACTATTTTTTTCGCCATTGCATAGGCATTATATTACGCAAGCTAGTTCACCTACCTATGTTATGCAACACCATGGTTATTGGTTACGGTGTGAACGTGCGACTCGCCTTTATTTGTGTCAGTCTGTGTCGATGTGTCACCGCAGTCCGTGTCAGTCTGTGTCACTGTATCACCTCAGTCCGTGTCAGTCTGTGTCACTATATGTCACCGAAGTATGTGTCAATGTGCATTAATTCTGTCTGGCACCGCAGTCTGTGTCAGTCTGTGTCACTGTATTTCACTGAAGCCTGTGTCAGTGGGTGTCACAGCAGTCTGTCAATGTGCGTTGATTCGGTCTGTCACCGCAGTCTGTGTCAGTCTGTGTTAGTGTGCGTCACCAGTCTGCAGTGTCACTGTGTGTCACCGCAGTCTGTGTCACTGTGTGTCGCCCCAGTCTGTGTCAGTCTGAGTGTGCTGCTGCATCCCGTCCCACTGCAGTCGCTGTCACTGCGGTCTGCCACATACATGTCATATACCGGCGGCGCGCTCCTACCGACTGCGTTGGTAGGCTGTGCCGCACGACATCCGCGTACGGCGGCACAGCTGAACCGAGCTGTCACTCGTGTTACCCACGTCGGCAACCTGAATTACTGTTCAGCGTCCCGTCCAGTGTCATAAACTGCCTCCGGGGAGAGGAGGGGGGGGGGGAGTTTCAAGGAATCAATGGCACGGATTCGACCCGTTTACCGCACATTCGTGCGGGTGCTTTCGGTCGCTGCTGCCTCTACCTAGAGCTCCGCCACAACGTTCTCATATTGGATGGAACGTTCAGTTTTAGGTGGCCGTGGGGGAGAATGCTCTTATATAACTATTCTATTTTTTAGCTATTATCATACAGGTCCGATAGCGATAATGACATAAGTCACGTCATTTGAGGGCCCCGCCCTCCACATTGTGGTACGGCTACCCGTGCCTGCTGTTGCCTGTTGTCTGGCGGCTCTCGCTGTTGCTCACCTTTTATTATCGAATTAAGCTTTGTATCTGACTGCTTTGTATCTGACTGGCTGGGTGGTTGAGTGGTGCGACAAGCAGGGCCTGTTGCGAATGGCACCAGGAACACACCACCCGACTTGGCTTGCACCCGGCTCACAGGTGATGATGTTATCTTGTCACGATACTTACTAACTGATTCGCTGTATTGCTGTTTATGTTACTCTAACTAATTGCTTCCATTTTCAGTGGACTGTGGCGAATACATATCTGAATTCGATGGCTATTACTCGTAAGTATGAACTGAATCAATGAAACATGCAAAGTTTTTTTTTCTGTCGACGTACGTTCGGAGGTCGGATCGATCAGCTATGGTGTAATTCATGGTAGTACAACAATGCAATGTCACTACCACTAGCAAACTATACGTCGAATAAAAGGTGTACGCATTCCAGTCAACATGTGTCTTATAGTTTCAATGTAAATGCTGTCTCTTCGACAAATAACTACCATGGTGAGCTGACCTTGACCTTGACCTTCGATTCGAATTTCGACCCTAGCAGTAGCTTCGTCGGGACTCTTATGAATATGCAGTTGATCAACAATCCTCAGCAAGTTAACGGCGGTAGGTGATCCGTCCAGCGTTTAGCATTACCTATCCTGTTAAAGCCGCAATCTCTGGTATTTATTTGACTGGTGTCTCGAAAATTTAAATCTAAACTTTAATATTGGTCTAAATTGGCGATGCTCTGTAATCTGTATGACCAACAAATCGTCACATTTCAGGAAGAACGATGCCTACGAGTACGACTACATGTGGATGTACGAGGACGGGGTGGAGCCGGGGTACGGGTCCGGGATGGACTCGGAGTACGGATCCGGGTCCGGGTCCGGGATGGAGTCGGAGTCCGGGTCCGGGTCCGGGGACCCGTATTCGACGTACGACACCACAGACGGGTATGGAGGTAAGTCGACACTCGGACACTCATTACTGGCGGACGTTCATTACTGGCGGGCACTCATTACTGGTGGGTTCTCATAATAGCCGTTTTCACGACGGGCTATCTGTCGAGTACACCTAATTTGACCAAATTCGCAACAAATTTCTTTTGCAATAAAAATCTTCGTATTATGAATTTATATCAGTATTTTAATCGAAAATAATGGCTGATAATTTAAAATGTGAGGCATATAAGCATCTGCAGTCCAAACTGGATAACTTTTAAGAAACATACTAAACCTAATTTGACCAACTCTGCACCTAATCTGCGCCAAATGTGTACCGTCGTGAAAACGGCTAATACTAATATTGGTGTGCTGAATCTGATGTAGAATGGTGGGACAGGGCCAATGCCGCTCGTCTTGAGATCAATGGTCTTTGACTCCTTCGGTCGTTTAACCCACAAAGCTTCGAGAAAATTAACTGCTTGTGAAGACTGTGCATTTGTATTATGCGATTCTTCATTCAAGGGTAGTGTAAGTCTTGCCATAATCGTGTTTCTCTTGTCACGCTGCTCCGAATGATGCATAATATTTCAGACCCGATCCTAAAGCGACCTTTCGCATCACCATGTGTGTGGCTTTGTAAAGTAAAAACTTGGCATTGTTTCAACATAACGGTAGTTCAAAATAATGTGCTTTACGAAGTAGCCTGGCACGCCTTTTATCTAGGCTGTGTTGTGGCCGTGTTCATGCTTGCGCATACTTCATCAAATTTATCGTCAAATATGTACCTTCGGGGGTATGAAGTACCCCAAGCCGCTAGAACCCGACCGTTGCTTTTACCGGACGTGCTATTGCCATGTCACGTCCAGGGTGTTAGAGTTGTGGGTCACTTATAGTCTAGTGGCGGCTGGCTCCGAGTAAAACTGCACTGACTGCCGACCGTCACGCCTGTATGTCTCATATCCAGTCTCTGTATGCCTCCCCCCTCGGCCATGCAGTGCAGCGGCCGCGCCTGTCTGTATGTCTGTCTGCCCTCCCGGCCACAGCGGCCGCGCCTGTCTGTATGTCTGTCTGCCCCCCCCCCTCCCTTCCCCGGTCACGGCGCGGCGGCCGCGCCTGTCTGTAAGTCCCCCCCCCCCCTCCCGGCCACAGCGGCCGCGCCTGTCTGTATGTCTGTCTTCCCACAGGCGGGACGGAGGGGACCTACGAAGCCACGGACGGCGCAGAGTCCACCTTCTACGACGCTTCCACGCCGCCCTTTGACGGTAGGCACCTCAGCGGCCGCGCTGAAGGGCGCCGTCAGCATGTGGATGCACAGCCAAATGCGCCGAGGGAGGTTGAGCTCACACTCTACTTCAGGCAAATTGTGTGCCCGAGTTTTGGCCTATTTGATTTGCTTTTTTTTCTGCATTCAGTCGGAGAGCTTGCTGCGAACAATTGTTAAAAACACCTTATATCTTTATTCGATATGATTTGATTAATCTGGGTTCAAGAATGATTCTAAACTATTTTACCGTTCAACCAACAGACAGAGAGACAGACACGGAATTGTAAGGAGTAGGCACACGAGAAATGGACACGTATGACGTGTATGCATGCATGCATCAATTAAATGAAGCGACAAACGGCATGGCAGGCATTACCTGTGTCCTTTTCATGGTTACCGCTTCGTATTTTGGGCGGGGCTGCAGCCTGCAATACAAACGAAGTAGAAATGGACACAACGTTGCAGCCATCTCTTATCGTTAATGTGTTCGATAAGTGCGACATTTTTTCATATCCGTCATCGTATCCGTTTCATATCCTCTTTGTTATGTACCTGTATTATTGTCGGTGTGGTGTCAGTTTTGTGTCATTTACTTCGTTTTATCTTCTCTGGTCAATTAACTACTTGGTGATGCTCTCACGACTTACACTTTTCTGGCAATCAGGGAAATAAACCGTATAGGAAATCGCCATTCTTACGTTATGGTGGTAATTTTGGGAAGCTGAAGTGCTTTTACACACTTATTATTTTTGTAGATGACCTTGGTAGCCTATGATACCTGTATGTCAAGGCATTGTTTCGCTTTTTTGCCGACTTGAACGATGTGACCAATGATTCCCGTCGTTAGGTACATTATTCATCTTGTCATGAATAATGAACATATGGCTAAGTACAGTCCGCATCACCATACAACGCTGGCCATCACGTATGAGTTGTGGCTGTTTATCACGCGCTGCTTTCATTAACACTTCGATATTATTTCGTTTCCATGAATTCAGCAACTGCGAGCGACTCGACTGACGTGCCGGACGGCGGGGCCTCTGAGGGCGCTCCGACTCCGACGGCCGACCCCGGCTCAGAGGACCCGGCCGGTCCGACGGCCGAGCCAGCGGCCGGCTCCGGTACGGACGGCCCCGCCCCCAGCGGCGCGGGGGAGGAGGCCATTCAGACCGGTAAGCACCCCCGGGCACCGGGCCGACGTCTATATTCCAACACAGCACTGCGGCCCACGGCCCGGCACTGCGCGTACTCTGTCCTCCAGGGACCGCGATAGTCCACTACAAAGGGGTATGCGTGACCAGGGTGGCCAGAATAAGCTAGAACTCAATTGCGATGCCACGGTCATGAAATAAATATTAAAGCAGCTGGGGGTCCTCGTATAGATGATTGACTAGCCTAGAATTACCCCCCCCCCCCCATGCTGTGTAGTGCATTAAGTTTGGTGCTAATTAGTGCAGGGTGCTATCAGTTTCCATGGCCTTCATTTGGGAATTTGGCAAAGCCGTAGTTTAGTTTTTGAAGTGCGTGTATAGTTTTGGTATATCGAAACCTCAAATACTTTGTGTAGTGTTCCGTACAATGTAAGTACATTGTACACTGTGCAATGCAATATGCCTCTAGGTACGTCATAGAGTAACATATTACCATGACCCCATACTGCCACATGTTATTATTGCATTTCGTTGCGCCATATTCTACCTAATATATGAGCTACTTATGGTAGCATGGATAATTTCAAATGTATTTTAGTGATACCAACTGTTGTGCTGTTAATATTTAACAATAGTCTTGGCATGCTACTACATACTCACTCCTATTTAGGAGCTCCGTCTACTGTATACATTTGTCGAGAAGCTTGGCAGCCTGCTGACTTCCGTTGTGACGTTAATTGTTTGCTTATGTAGTTTCCCTTAGCTAATATGGGTTCCGCGGCCGCCATTCTTTTGTCGTAGGCGGTATTCTGTAATGTCAAGATCTCTTCAGGCGCATTTTGCTACAGACGACATTTTCTGTGTTTCATCCAAAATCATGGCATGTGTGTTATTTTAAACGTTGCCGTAAGCTTTCACCTGATGGCTTACCACTGGTGGGAACGGTGTGTTATCCAATGACGACTGTAAACAGCCTGTTCAGCGCTCACAGACCACAGTTCACTGTGGTTGACACATAAGCTATCGTCATTGACATTCACTGCGGCTGCAGCATCTACGTTTCGCCACTAGGCTGTAATGGGTTACCGATTGGAAGCTCGAATAAACAGAAAAAACGCCGTCAGTCGATTAGCAACTAATGCCACGCCAAGCCGCCTAGAAGTGCCGCACATTTTAGCGATGGCTCTGATTTCAGACGTGGAGGAGCAGAGTCTCAGAAGGAAGCGGGAGGCGCGCGTCTCTCAGTCTGACTCGAGGCGGAGCCCTGCGGCCGGCGCCGGTGGCGGGGTGCCGCGGCTGCGGCCGCTGACGGAGCCGGAGGTGGCCGGCGCGCGCCGCCGGCTGGTGCTGGTGCGCCGCCGCCGCTCCGCCGAAACCACCGAGGTACCCGGCGCCTGGGCCCAACCGGTGAGTCAGCGCTGCACCCAAAGTCATCCAAGACGCTAGTTACTACTTTCGATGGTTACTGTGCCGTTAAAGTCGTCTAGTTGAAATGAACTGTGAAGGATGTTTACTGATTTACTACATAGCCAGAAATGTATGCCCTCATATGCAACTTCTTCTCGAGTTCGTTATAATGGTGATGTGGTTGACGTGTGTGATCGCTTTGTCACAGGAGATGTACGAAGGCTATAACTTTGGTGAGTCTATCGTGGCTTTTACTGGTGGATATATCTGTGAGGCTTACACGGCACGCTTGACTGTAAATGTGAGAGTTTTGGTCACGTGCAAACGGTCGACTGTTCTCTGATGTAGGTAAATGATAGACGGAATCTTAGTTCGGTCGTCCACGAGTGTTTTTATTAATATTACGCGCAAATTGCTCCAATAATGTTTATGTTTAATTGGCATAAATGTCGTTGTATTTACGTTTTGTTATGCTTGTTGCTACGCTTTGTTTTAGAATTGATTGTATTTGTTTGAAATGACAAATGAGAGGTAATTAACGCTATCTGCTTATCGTTTAGATTCATCCAACTACTCGATCACCTATTTCGACCCATCGTGCAAGTGTCAGATGACCTGCAATCAATATGGCTGCTACCAGGAGGGTAAGCTACTGTGTGGCCACAAAAATAGCTCTATTAGAGCACAAGGAATGGAAATATAGGGCCGGGTGTGTCTGGTATGTCGCAGGAATACTCGATCCGGTCTTATAGTATAGCGCCACCATCCAACCACCAGACGTAGTTGTTACGAGCCGTCCTATCGGTGCGGTAGCCGTCCACAGCACACGCCGTCGCGCACGCTGAATCCCTGGGGTTCCAGAAAATAACGTCTGTTTGAACGTGTTTGACGGTTCTCATGAGAGCCCAACTCCTTACAAACAGCGGTTATTCACGAATGGACGTGAAGTGCTAACCTCATAGAACGGTCAATGTACTCGGCATTTGTTGACAGCACGCTGCTAGTATCGATAGTCAATACCAATTACACCAGTTCATCAAGACTGGTCGTGCCTGGTGGCACCCATTACCTTTACGTGCAGTACGTACACGTAATCGCAAAACTGCCGGACGCATTACCGACCTTCCTGCGCCACCGTTGCCCTTCAGACTCCGTCTTTAACCAGCTAGGCAACAACAAGTCGTTCCGCGAGCTGGTGCAGTCGCTGCGGCGCACGCACGGCGACCCGAGCGTGATGCAGCGCGCCTTCACGCCCAGCGTGGAGGAGATCCAGCAGTACGGCATCAAGAGCGCCCAGTTTATCACGGCCTGCACACTGGACGACGCCAAGTGCTCCCACCAGTACGTCGCGGGGCCGCGCCGGGAGGACGGAGGCAGGGAGAGAGGGGGGGGAGGACAGAGAGAGAGAGAGAGAGAGAGAGAGAGAGAGAGAGAGAGAGAGAGAGAGAGAGAGAAAGAGAGAGAGAGAGAGAGAGAAAGAGAGAGAGAGAGAAAGAGAGAGAGAGAGAGAGAGAGAGAGAGAGAGAGAGAGAGAGAGAGAGAGAGAGAGAGAGAGAGAGAGAGAGAGAGAGAGAGAGAGAGAGAGAGAGAGAGAGAGAGAGAGAGAGAGAGAAAGAGAGAGAGAGAGAGGGAGTGCGGTGCGGGAGGGAGAGCTCGGCTGTATTTGGAACGGTCTAAGGGCTTATTGTCGTCTGGGGAACGATCGCGGGTCAACTTAGTGAGGAAGCAGTTTTTAATGAAGAACGGCCTGATTAACCCTCCCCCGCACATGCCATTTTCCCATCCTAGAACGCACATGGGGGGGGGGGGGTTGCCACCCCCGCGCCATTTCGTTCCTGTTGGAGATAGAGCTTATCGGTAAAGACCAAAAAGATTCTTTGGGAAAAGACAAATCCAATGATACCCAGTTTTACCTTCTCAGGTCAGTCATTGCCCTTCCAGGTCAGATCAAACTAAAAAATATTGCTGTTTTGGGTCACCGTTGGATATCAAGTGCGCTGCTTATCATATACCGATGACGATGCCGTTTTCTGGTGCCAAGCCAGCTAGAACCTCTTAGTCACACTACCCGACCAGGTTTTTGCTGCTGAGGTCATTTCAGGTCAAGTTAGGTCAAGGTCAATTATGTGTGTTTGTATGTCTGTGTGTCTGTGTGTATACTGATGTGTGCACCGATTGTTTATGTGTCCATATTACATGAAATCATGATCTGAGAAGCTTTTACCAAAAATGCAGTCAAAAAAATTCACAAAAAGTAAATTCCGCTTGCCTAAAACGCAATTATCTTAGATGACCTAGGTTGACCTTGACCCTGACCTTGACACCTGTACATCGTCGAATAACATGTTCCATGATAGGTGGGAGGTAAGACTGGCAAAAAAAGCCGAAATCAAGGTGTCAAAAGCTCACAAGGCCCATAGCCAACGCAAGATGTTGAGAATTGGCCATTGTGGGTCATGACATGACCTGAAAAACAAGGTCATATCTCCGAAACCAAAAACCACAGAAACTTGAAATTTTCAGTGGACATCAAGAAAGGATAGAGGAGCAGCTATACGCAAAATCAGCCTTCTAGCTCTAAAAATGTTGAGTGCAGAGCAGAAAGACTACCTGGGGGGGGGGCACCCCCCCATGTGCGGGCGAGGGTTAAAGGTATTCGCATGAAAAAAAAAATGGCTGGAAGGAATACGCGATAATAGGTCTCAATGAATTGAACTACATAATTATGTCAAACAAACTCATGATCTGTTGCCGGTGCTGAGCTGATAAAATTAAACCACTCGTTGCTGTTACCACTCGATAACTGCAGTATTTAAGTGATGCACGCTGTCCACAGGGACTTTTATCAGTGGCAGAGTGACGGTTACGGCAACTGCTTTACGTTCAACTCTGGGTTCCGCTACGCCTGGAACCAGGCCACCGGAAAGCTGGAGCACGTGAAGCCCAACAAAACCAGGACGTTTGGGTCCAAGGTAGGCGGCAGGAACACTGATGGATGCGGCGTGTGTGTACTAGTGGTGTCAATCGGAACTTGAATCTTCGGAATTCCGATTTTGTCCAATGTCCAATTCGGAATTCGGTTGTACAATGGCAGCAGGCTTTGGACAACTTTGGACAATCGCTTGCTACACCTCAACATTTTTTAAAAGTAGTCGTGTTTAACATTGATTGGCTATTAGAAAGCTCAGCTTTCGATATGATTAACACTTTTTAGCTTGTAACGGTACATGAAAAGCAAATAAAATAGCAGTGTTGAGTGTAAACTATTGCGTAGCGTGTCGGACATCATTGGACAAATGGCTGGCTTGGACATTTTTGGACGGACAATCGACGCAAGCATTGGACATTGGACGGACTTTGGACATACGTTTTCTGAAATTGACACCACTAGTGTGTACGTTTGTGTGGTGTGACATGTCTCACACTGTCCTACCGTCTAACGTGGCGTACCCTCTGTCGTTAGGAGAAGGCAACTTGTTTAGACATAACGTGTGATGACGTATGTTGTTTGATCGTGTCGTGTCTCGTCTCGTGCCGTCCTGTCCTCTGCTGTGACGCGTCCGGTGCCCGGTGCCGTCCTCAGGCGGGTCTGCGCGTCACTCTGAACGTGGACGCCGGCCACTACTCGTCGCTGCTGACCCCGGACGTGGGTGTGCGCGTGGTGGTACACCCCACCGACCAGCTGCCGTTCCCGGAGGAGCGCGGCTTCAGCGTGGTGCCCGGCTTCACCACCGCCGTCGGCATCAGCAGGGTGCGTAACTGACGGGAGGAGGGCGGGAGGGCGGGATCAGCAGGGTGCGTAACTGACGGCGCTGACAGGCGGGGGAGGGGCATCAGCAGGGTGCGTAACTGACGGCGCTGGGGGCGGGAGGGCGGCTTCAGCAGGGTGCGTAACTGACGGCACTGAGGGCGGGAGGGCGGCATCAGCAGGGTGCGTAACTGACGGCACTGGGGGCGGGAGGGCGGCATCAGCAGGGTGCGTAACTGACGGCGCTGGGGGCGGGGGCCGGCTGCTAACGACCCCCGGGTCTGCCGACCCTGGAGAAGGCTCTGGATTACCACTGTATGGCTTTAGGTGAACTCTTCAGCACACAATATTCATTGACGGTATCCAAGTATCCAATGCGGGAAGATGTTTGGAGATATCCTTCCAGTCACCTTCAACCCTCCGACCGTATCTCCTGACGTCCATGCCGCAGCTGTGGCGCTCGTCACTGAGCCACACCAAAACTGAACCGATTCGCTGACGTTCCGGAGCGAGAGCAGTTATGTGACATCTCCTCTGTCGATCACTCTCACAGTGATTCTCGGGCGTGACCTCAAAAAGATGACGTCTGTCCCACCCGTTACAGAAGCGGATCCACCGCGTGGGCCCGCCGCACGGCGTGTGCCGCGAATTCGCCGAGTTCTTCGGCGGCCGGGAACTGCGTTACACGACCACGGTGAGAGCGCGTCAGCGGGTCGCCCGGGGAACCGAGCGGTCAGCGGGTGCGGGGTCAGCGTCCGAGCGAAACATGGCGGCGTGGTGATCCTGTAACAGTAATCCAGTATCGTAATAACATCAATCCCGATAATCGTTATTATGCCTGAGAATCCTGGTTATGTTGATGAGAAGAGGTTTCCTCCCCGCTGACAGGCGTGTCAGAAGCGATGTGTGGAGCACGCCATCCGCACCAAGTGTCAATGCATGGAGTCGGTGAACCGCGACCTGACCATGGGGCTGACGCGTGGACTGGCGCGCTGCAACCCGCTCGTCAACAGCACCGCAGGTCAGTGGACTGGTCGGTACTTCAGGTCAGAGGTCAGGGGCGCCGCAGGTCAGCGGCACACCAGGTCAGGTGTCAGTGACCGCAGGGACCCGCTCGTCAACAGCACCGCAGGTCAGTAGTGGGGGCACGGCAGGTCAGTCGTCAGCGGTCAGCGATACATACCTCAGATCAGGGGTCAGTGACCGCAGCGACCCGCTCGTCAACAGCACGGCAGGTCAGTCGTCAGCGGCCAGCGGTACGCCGGTACATACATACCTCAGATCAGGGGTCAGTGACCGCTGTAACCCGCTCGTCAACAGCACCGCACGTCAGCAGTCAAGGGCACACCAGGTCAGAGGTCAGTGACCGCAGCGACCAGCTCGTCAACAGCACCACAGGTCAGGTGGTGAGTGGCTGCGGTGGAATGAAAATCATCGGAAATCGTCATATGAGAGGACCATTTGCAAATTAAATGAAACATTGCCGACTCTCTTGGCCAACTGCAGCGACACATGTAACGACACACGCCAACAATTATTAACCGGTGTCACCCATCGGTTAATATCGGTTATATGCCTCGGTAATACCGGTTAAATACCGATTAATCATTAAAAAGTCGATTGTTAACCGTTAATTGGTGTGTTTCAGACCGGTGCCGCCAGCAGGTGAAATCCCAGTTCAGCCGCGGCAAGAGCACCTGTGACTGCCCGCCCGCCTGTCTGTAAGTCTCTGATCCCGATATGTCTGTGAGCCCTCGGCAACTCGGCCTGTCTGTAAGTCAACATCATATGGCTCTCTGACCCATTCTTCCGTTGCATGATATGTCCAGCTAATCGGCTGTGCAGCCAACGTACCGTTACCTATGTCATACTCTTCACCCTTTCAGCCCTCTGTATCGACCGATTTCCTCGCCCTTTCAGTCCTGTGTTTCGGCCGATTTCCGGGAAATCTTGCAATCATTCCCCACCCACTCAGCCCTGTGTTTCGGCCTCTTTCAGTGAGGACCGGTACGAGAAGGCTCTGTCGATGAGTCTGCCCAACAAGCACTACTACCGAATCATGCGCAACTTCACCGACGAGTTCACCGGCACCGATCTCTGTGAATCGTGAGTTAACGAGTTAATTCTGAGTTAACCATCCGTCACCGTCAGCGATCTCTGTGAATCGTGAGTTAACGAGTTAATCCTGAGTTAACCATCCGTTACCGTCAGCGATCTCTGTGAATCGTGAGTTAACTGTTCAGCAGGTTTTGTTTCAACGAGCTCTGGCTGCTCGCGGTACATTGCCATCATCATCTTTCATCGAGTTTCATGGAATGTAGGGAAGTGATTTTTTACCGGGGTACACGCGTTATCCCGAAATCGTATGGTAATACTACAAATCATTTCACACACTGAATGTTAGCAGGGCGTAAAGCGCTATCCTCACACCTTGTATGTATGCTGCCGCCGACCTCTCAATGTCTGTGACCTCTGGCATCATCTGTGCGCCCTCTGACGCGTCTCCCTCGCCCGCCGTCACAGGGACAACATCTCGAACAGCACGATCAGACTACAGGTGTACCTGGAGGACCCGTCGTTCGAGTACATCCACGAGTCGCCGGCCTACTCTGTGGAGTCGCTCGTCTCCAACATTGGCGGCGTGATGGGCCTCTGCCTGGGCCTGTCGGCGCTGACGCTAGTCGAGATGGCCGAGTACCTGGTGGAGCTGACCGTCAGCGGATGGAGCAACTGGCGCAACCGCGGCGAGCGCGCCGCCAACCGCTCCGGCATCAAACGCGTCGAGGTGCTGCCCTCCGACCCCAGCACCGGCATGCAGTGTGAGTCGAGGGCTGAGGGGCGCTGGAAGATCGGGCGGAGATGGTTGTATGGGCTGTAGGAGGGGATGCTGACATGAGGGTACGGAGGGGAAAATGTGCGTCAGGCACGGTGCGGGCTAGAAAACTGGCTCATCTCAAGTTAAGACGGGTGGGGATGTAAGTCACAGTTCGAAGAGGAATGGAGATAAGTCACAGCTGAGCTGTGAATGAGAGCTTCCACATGAAAATCACCTCCTGGGGTATAGCACGGTAGAACTAATCGTCCTTCAAACGCTGCATCGTTAGCAGGCGGGGCCGGGGCTGACTGTAGTTGGCGGTCTGGCCGGTAGGTGTCACCATCATCCACACGTTCGAGCGGCCGCCGCCGACCGTCGTCGAGGAGCCGCCGCCGCCCAAACCGCCGCAGGCAGAGCGCGAGGCGCAGACCAAGGTGTCGCTCACGTTCTTCGGCAAGCGGAAGCTGCGCGCCAAGAAGGTGGCCGACGCCAAGAAATCACGCTCCAAGAGGGCGCACAAGCGGCGCTAGTCGGCCGGCCGCCGGCCGCTCGGGCGTGTGGATGGTGAGACGGGGCAGAGAGAGGGAGGGGGAGCGCGCCGGTAGGCAGAGGGAGGGAGGGGGAGCGCGCCGGTAGACAGAGGGAGGGAGGGGAGCTCGCCGGTAGGCAGAGGGAGGGAGGGCGGACAGAGGGGGCTGAGCGCGCCGGGTCCGTTGCAGACATCCGCGTGGTGCACCGGTTTGACGTCCGACCGGAGACGGTGGTGAAGCCGTGGGTGCCGCCGAGGCTAGCCGACGCCGCCGTCAGCACCCTGGTCTCCCTGCCGGCCGACAGGGTCAACGACCGCGCCTGGATGAAGCCGTGAGCCGGCCGGGACACCGCCGGACGTCCACCGGCGCCCCTGAGCGACCACCGCCGGTCCACCGGCGCCCCGCCCAGCGCGGAGTTGACCAGTCAACGGTCCAGAGCTGCTCAACAGGGCGGTGAACCGTCCAGTTTGGGCAGGGAGACATATGTTTCAGTTTTGGTGGATTCTGACAGCTTTGTGTCGCTAATGTACTGGTGACCTAATGATAGCAACTGAGCCATGCATGATCTCTTACATTTTCGCCTTTTTTTAAAGCGATGGTAAATTTTGCTTGTTTATTCCACAAACTTGTAAACAATTGCCAGATCACGTATGCCTAAACGCTATGCGTTTTGAACGCTTGTGATACGATATCGATGCACTGTGCACCAATCGTTCACCCGTTGACACAGCTGTTTGTCCGCATTTCGTCAGTATTGTATCGCTGCCTACTCATTGATCGTATTGTAACACACCCACGCTGAAAAGGGCGTACGGCAAAACGATTTATGATGTTGTATTTGCTGAATCCAAGGAATCCAAGATGCAAGCGCCGTATGGCCTCTACTCATATGTACCCCAATGTATGCTGTATGCGTCGGTAACGCGCATAATTCACCCAGAGTTATTTATTTATTTTTTCTTTGAAGCATGCTGCGCAAATTCACATTATCAGCTCCCGTCGTTATACAGCCGTTATATCATCTGTAAGCTCCATTTTTAGAAGTGTTTAGCGGACGTGGTCGAAGAGGATTATGAGTGTCCTGTGCTACAACAAGCAGCAATGCCATAACTATGATATATTTTTAATATTTTACCGCGCGATTCATCACTTTTAGTACTGATTGAGATGGGAACATATAGTTCACATCATTTAGCGAAATACATAGATCATATACTAACAGCAACCGGACGTAAGGCTGCAATCAGTACAAAGCCCTAATTGACACCGAAGTTTTCCCTAACTTTGATCTGCATCGATATATAGTGTCTTAATTATTATGTATTTACGTGCATATAAATATACATTAGAATTGGATCACAGCGGCACTGTTTCACGATGGAACCCGGAAGAAAAACAGTGGAAACGGCGGACGTTCGGTTGCGCTGCCGTCCAAAGGAAAAAAAGGGTAACTCGATTTTTTGGGAAATTGAGATATTGGTATCAGTGGATAGCTCTCGACGAGACACATCTCCCAATATCTAAAAATATATATGATGTATATGTAAACTTTCGAGATATAGACGTTTGAAATTTGGCATTTTGTGTTTTTTTGTAGCAAGGGCTGAAACTCGCATTATGTTCAAGGGAAAAAAGCGGCATCTCGATGCCGCTTTTTTCCCTTGACTTTACTACGCCAGAGGAATCTAATTTCAACGGAAAGAGACGATAAGTCCACAAATAGTGTCTCCTGGCTGGAGGTGCCTTCTCGATTGTTGACATGAAATCACTGCACAAGGACCACTTTAATTGGTTCTTATTTTAGCGCCAATTATTTATTTAGACAAACTCCGATATAAACAACTTGTTTATGATTGCAACATGAAAAAGGAATAAACAAACACCTTTATTAGGAAATAATTTACTTCTGACAATATTCAAACATCGCTAAGATTAAACCCGGCCTACTTTTCTGAGCAAATGCATCTGACGAACCGCGAGACCTTTGAACCTCCCGCCAAAGCGGCCATGGCTTGCAGACTGCAGTAATTAATTCATAGTGCGAAAGTCATACGATTAACGATGGCCTCCAATGTAAATTACGAACATAAAACTATTAAAGGGAAACAATTCATCAAGGTGGCCTGGGACAATCCTGACGCAAAATATTCTGCAAACTTCGTCCCGATTTCAAGCATCAAGTTCAATGAAGATGATGTTCTCCAAGCTGGTACGTCCGTGCGAGTGAAATACGGGAAGACACTCTGGACAGGGACAATCGAGAGTCGCCAGTGCCCGATAAAACGCAGCCGTCCAGCTTCTGACTTCGTGGAAGGCAAGTTACACTTAATTGCGTTCTCAATGCCTATTGTCTACAGCGTTTAATAAATTCCACCAAATAAATCAAAATCTCGCTACTCCTAAACTGTCAGCAGACTGACTGCGGCATTATTAGGATTAAGAAGATTGGTTGTCCCGGTAGATGTGCTCAGATCCGTTGTCATCGCTTAACACCCCTATTTACTGCTCGTAAGATGCAAAATATTCCCCAACTTATTCGATCAGAGAGTAAAAACTGAGGCGCTTCGTGCCGCTTGATTTTGAATAACCGGCCGCGTTGGTGAACACCCAGTGCATGCTTCTTTAGCCGTACCCACCAAAGGCGAGGTCATCATGCAAGGTCAACATCCGAGCTCGTTTTCAGAGCTCATTTGTGTGCCAAGACAGCTCGCTGCAACAAATGCTTGGAGCAGTAGCTTTAATTTGTATGGCTTCGTCACTTGTGGTTCATAATTGACACACCTTTAACCTCCCCAGATGTGTCCGACGACGATCTTCCGCTTTCAAAGCTGGCGGCAAGCCTTCACAAGCAGCCCGGTGCCCTGACAGCCGATGGACCAGTCAGCCTCAATCAGCCGCCTGCGGGGACGTCCGCGTCGGTCCGACTTGGACAACACAACGATGTGGACCTAATGGGGCCACACGACTTCATCACAATAATGCAGAATCTCCAAAGCCCCGAGTATGTCAGTAGCGTGTTGTCCGACGAGGCATTCCAAACCATCGTAAGTGCCGACCTCTCCACCGAGTCGCCGCCCTGCCCCGGCACCTCCGGCGCGGGAGAGTCGCACCCGACTCTCCTCCCAGGGCCCCCTGGCTTCTCCACCGAGTCGCCGCCCTGCCCCGGCACCTCCGGCGCGGGAGAGCGGCACCCGACTCTCCTCCCAGGGCCCCCTGGCTTCTCCACCGAGTCGCCGCCCTGCGTGGGAGAGCCGCATTCTTCACCCGACATGCAGCCGAACTCGCGGAAACGTGCGAGAACCAGTGACCAACAGAGTCGAGCCTTCCTCAGCAAGCATGGTGTTAGGCCAGTTCCAGAGAGCTGCAGTAATGGCACGTGCAAGTACGGCTGCGCTGAGCGGTTTTCTGAGGCGCAGCGCGCACAAATAAACCAAAGTGTCAACCTGTTGCCCAGACAGGCAAGAGTGCAATGGTACGCCTCACATGCCGATGACATAACACCCACTGTTGTGGACTGCCTGCCCGTCAGTGACCCGGCCGCCCGAAGGAGGAGGCTGATCGCCTACTTCCTGCCGTTAGAGAACGGAAGGAAACAGCCCGTGTGTAAGGCTTTCTGCCTCGCCACACTTGGCTTCAGTCAGGCCAACGATGGGCCAATGCTGTCCGCCGTGCGTGCCCTATCTGCTCCGGAAGAGACACGGGGTCGCTCAGTCCCGCCTAACCGTGTCAGTAGGGAGGTGCTGCGGGCACACATCGAGAAATATGAGCCGGTCAGTCCGCACTACCGCTACCTACATGCTCCAAAGCGCAGGTATCTCCCTGCCGATCTCACAGCCATGGACATGTACAGCCACTTAACGGAGGAGCAAGGCGCGAACTTTTGCACATATGAAACATTCCGTAAAGCACTCAGGGAAGCAAATGTCAGCTTCACGCGACTTGGCTCGGAAGAGTGCGACATGTGCAAGGCATACAGCCTCCACATCAAGGAGTGCCATGTCGATGCGGAGTGCCAGGTGTGTTCCGATCATGGAACTCACCTGAAGAACGCAGAAGAGAGTCGAAGAGCCTACCAGAAGGACAGGGACCGAGTGGCGGGGGAGGACGAGACTCTGGTGTCCGTGGACATGATGCGAGTGACCGTCCTGCCAATCCTGCCACACAAGGTATGCGTGTTCACGCCACGTCTCGTCGCATATAACGAGACGTTCTCGCCGCTGGGAGGAAGCAGGTCCGGGCGGCCTGTCAGTGTCACATGGCACGAAGGTGTCGCAGGCAGGGATGCGTCTGACGTGGCGTCGACTTTCGTGAAGTTTTGCGAGCGCAACCGCAACGCGGAGGCAATTACGTTTTGGGCAGACAATTGCTCTGCCCAAAACAAGAATTGGATCTTGCTGACTGCTCTGCTGCACCTCGTCCATCGCCAGGACCTGGCACTCAAGACGGTGACGGTAAAGTTCCTTGAAAAGGGACATACCAGCATGTCGGCAGATGCTGTCCATCAGGTGGTCAATAAGTTTCTGTCGAAGAAAAATGAAGTAGCCGACTTCCAGGACTTTGTTGAGGCGTGCGCCCATGCATCAGACGTCGTTGAGATGGCAGCGACTGACTTCCGCGACATCAGTAGCGGGATCAGCGCCAGCAGACTGAAAAAGCTAGCTGGCGAGGACCTAAGACCCACACTCAGGAAGATGAGGGCAATTCAAGCGCGGCGAGGAGAACATAGGCTTTTCATGAAGGAGAGCCACGAACAGCCAACTTGGAAGGCCTACGAGATAACCAAAGTCACCTTCGACGAGATGGAGCAACCTCCGAGACGGAAGGTAGAGAGAGGAGTGAACAGAGACAAACTCGACAAGATAAAGTCGCGGTTGGCGCCGCTCATGAAGCCGCACAAGAGGGCCTTCTGGCTCGGACTCGAAGGCAAGAACGTCCGCGATTTGAATGGTTAGTCTGTGTGAAGGGGGGGGGAGCGGGGGTGATCCAATGATCAGTCCGAAGCGCTGAGCTTTGGGTGATGAAATAAGATGAATTGAGATGACCTGGTGATGATTCAGTGTGACGAGACTGTTGGTGACTTTTGTTTGTTTTGAAGTTCGAGCACCGCGGTCTGCTTCGTCACACCTTCGTGACAGCGCAGTGCGTCAATCAATTTTTACTCGTGCCAATGTTGAAGTTGTTTCATATATGTTGGTGTTGCATGCATAGTTCAATGTAACATCCTCGCCAATTATATTGCTCTTGCGACAAGCATGAACAACAATTTGTACCTCCCCCAATACAACAGTTGCAGTGATTTTTGTTTGAGACAGGCTGCTGCTGGTTGCATCATCGGTCAGATTTTTCCGAATTCGAGAAAAGCATGCTCATCGGGTTGGGTTGATGTATTATGATCGACAAGTTCGATTAAAATACATCTCACATCCTCTTTTCTTGCATTATTTAAATCGCCCTGTAGGCATTTAAGCCATTCATTCTGCCATTCATTGTACCTGTCAATCTGAAATGCCTTGTAAATATTTGGGATAAAGTGCAGCTTTTCAAGGGAAAAAAGCGGCATCTCGATCTGAGACGAGTTGCCGCTTTTTTCCCTTGCATGGAACTTCAGATACAGTCGCTGGAGGCAAAGTCAATAAACATTAAGGCTGATATTACCTACAACTTGACTGAAATGGTTTTCTAGCTCTCCTGAAAAGTTCAATTTTCAGAGATGCCCTTTTTTTCCTTTGGACGGCAGTGCGCTTCGGCAAATGCAACCATATGGTTCCTAATTCCTGTTCTATAGATCGCTATATAAGATATCTTTGCAGTATGCATACAACCAGTCTCTCAACTCTTGATCGAGTTATCTACCGTGTCTAGTTATCTATCAACCATGTTCAGGAGTAGGTATATCTACCCTGTCGTTTATCCCGAACATCGGTTCATAAGTTCTCCTTCATTAGTCTCACCAGTCACATATAAAACACCAGCCGCAGCCCCCCATCCCTCCACGCCCTGTGCGGCGGCGGCCCACCCGTCCCTACCGCTGCTGGTCGGACGGGCCGTGCCGCTCGCGCAGGGAGTAGCTGCCGTGCTCCTCCGCCACCAGGCCTTCCTTCACCAGCTTGGACAGGTGGTGCTCCACGTTCACAGAGGCCGGCCGGCGCATGTACACCGGGATATCCTGTCGGACAAACGGGACCGGTCACAGTATGTTATATACGGACCAAACAGTCGGTCACGGTAAACATATGTAGCGAACAGCCGGTCATGGGTCTGGACGCTTTATACGGATGATCCATCGACTGAATTACCGGTCAGTGTCACGCATGGTAAACCCTGACGGCCGAGCGGCCGCTCAGTGCCACGCATGTTACGCATGATAAAGCCACGGTGACTAAATAGATGAAGCAAGACGGATAAATGGTAAGTCAGTGTTGCGTATGATAAAAGGTCAGTGTTACGCACGGTAAAGCCAAACGGCTGAACGGCCGGCCTGTGTCACGGAATGGGCACGTGGTGCCGTGGGCTCATTCACCCACACACCGCCGGGCAACAGCGGTAGTTTGGACAGGCGCTGGTCCAATGCGCCGAACAAGGCGGCAGGTAACGACTACTTAGGTGTATTTACGTATTTACAACTTGGGCTGGGTTCACGAATACTGACCGTATACACTGCTGATACGGTCAGCTGGGTCAGCTGGTTGTACAGCTGGGATATAACTATAAATACTGACCGTGTATACTGCGGTGACTATGTCGGTGACTGTACAGCTGGGTTTATAGATACTGACCGTGTACACGGCTGTGACAGTACAGCTGGGTTTATAGATACTGACCGTGTAGACTGCGGTGACTATGTCGGTGACTGTACAGCTGGCCGACTCGGCGTTCCTCAGCGCCGCCAGGATCTGCTGTTCTCGCTCCCTGCGGTGGTCCATGTAGAACTGAATCTTCTCGATCGGGTTCTGAAACAACACGACGGCACAATTTAGCATAACAGCCAGTCACCTTACACTCAAGCCCATAAAACTGGAAATGCCAGTCAGCGAACAGAATGTGGCGTACAATTTACGAGTCACCCCCCCCCCCCGCCCTCCTCACCTGTACGACGGGCCCGTGCAGTAGATGGCACTCCCCTCCCTCCCCCACCCCACCCCCACCTGAACGACAGGCCCGTGACCCGGGGAGCTGGCGCTGGGCCGCAGCACACTCCCTACCTGTACAACGGGCCCGTGCCCCGGGAAGATGGCGCTGGGCTGCAGTAAGTACCCCCCCCCCCCACCCCCCACCCACCTGTACAACGGGCCCGTGCCCCGGGAAGATGGCGCTGGGCTGCAGTAAGTACCCCCCCCCCCCCCACCCCCCACCCACCTGTACGACGGGCCCATGACCCGGGTAGATGACGCTGGGCCGCCGTAAGTACTCCCCCCTCCCCCCCCCCGCCTGTACGACAGGCCCGTGACCCGGGTAGATGGCGCTGGGCCGCAGTCACCCCCCCCCCCCCCACCTGTACGACGGGCCCATGCCCCGGGTAGATGGCGCTGGGCCGCAGTCACCCCCCCCCCCCCCCCACCTGTACGACGGGCCCATGCCCCGGGTAGATGGCGCTGGGCCGCAGTCACCCCCCCCCCCACCTGTACGACGGGCCCATGCCCCGGGTAGATGGCGCTGGGCCGCAGTCACCCCCCCCCCCCCCACCTGTACGACGGGCCCATGCCCCGGGTAGATGGCGCTGGGCCGCAGTCACCCCCCCCCCCCCCCACCTGTACGACGGGCCCATGCCCCGGGTAGATGGCGCTGGGCCGCAGTCACCCCCCCCCCCCCCCACCTGTACGACGGGCCCGTGGCCCGGGTAGATGGCGCTGGGCCGCAGTAAGTACCCCCCCCCCCCCCCCACCCCCACCCACCTGTACGACGGGCCCGTGGCCCGGGTAGATGGCGCTGGGCCGCAGTAAGTACCCCCCCCCCCCCACACACACACACACCTGTACGACAGGCCCGTGCCCCGGGTAGATGGCGCTGGGCCGCAGTCCCCCCCCCCCCCACCCACCTGTACGACGGGCCCATGACCCGGGTAGATGGCGCTGGGCCGCTGAGCCGCAGTCCCCCCCCCCCACCCCCCACCTGTACGACAGGCCCATGACCCGGGTAGATGGCTCTGGGCCGCAGTAAGTACCCCCCCCCCCCCCCGCCGCCTACCTGTACGACGGGCCCGTGCCCCGGGTAGATAGCGCTGGGTCGCAGAACATCCCCCCTCCCACCACCCACCTGTACGACGGGCCCGTGCCCCGGGTAGATGGCGCTGGGCCGCAGCACACTCCCCACCTGTACGACAGGCCCGTGACCCGGGTAGATGGGGCTAGAGTATACTCTCCCTACCTGTACGACGGGCCCGTGTCCCGGGTAGATGGCGCTGGGCCGCAGCTGCAGCAGCAGTTCCAGCGAGGCCATGTAGTCGGCCAGGTCCTCGAACACGGCCGTCGTCTCGCCCAGGATACAGTCGCCGCTGAAGATGACGTTTCCCTCGGACATGTGCAGCACCACGTGGTCAGTGGTGTGACCGGGCGTGTGAACCACTCTGGAAGGGGGAGGGGGGACGTGGTCAGCCGAGGATGTGCACTAGTACCTACTGAGGAGGGACGGGAGCGTCAGAATACGCTGGACATCCGGATAGCTCGGCACATTAGCCAACGTAACAGGGAACTAACGGCTTACTAGTTCCAGTCGTGGCAGAATACGTGGGACACCTGACAGGTGTATTGGTGCACCAGCTTGTACAAGTTGTATAAGCAGTTCAGTGGAACACAACAGCTTCATCTCCCCAGCATTACCTCCCCGTTCTCCAGCGCCCCACTCTCCATCTCACTGTCCCTCGCCCCTCTGTAACACACCTCAGAGTGGCCCCCTCTGTAGCGATCACCTCCCCGTCCTTCAGCGGCTCCACACCCGGAGTCACACCCGAGTGAGACCCTTCCCTCCATTACAGAATACTCAATACTCACCTCAATGTGGCCCCCTCTGTAGTGATGACCTCCCCGTCCTTCAGCGGCTCCACGCCCGGCGTCACACACCCGAGTGAGACCCTTCCCTCCATTACAGAATACTCACCTCAGAGTGGCCCCCTCTGTAGTGATCACCTCCCCGTCATTCAGCGGCTCCACGCCCGGCGCGTCCGCCGCCTCCGGACGCGGAAACTTCCTCGCCGGAATGTCTGAAAGGGATGTCAGTGACAGTTAACACATAACACTGCAGAGTGACGGGCCGACCGGTCATTAGAGGCTCGATACATCTCACAGTGAGCAATCGGAGAAAGTACATCGGAGAACATGAGAGAGAATAGAAGAAAATAAGTTAGCTAATGCTGCTCAACGTAGTACACAGCACACACGCGCGCAGAACAGAACATCAAGCAGCAACAGCAGGAGGTAAAAGAAGCAGCCCTTCATATGCATGATCACGTCCCATTATACTCCATGACTGAGCCCCATAGCCACTCCCACCGCTGCCGTCAGCGGAGCGCCCCCGGGCCCCGGACGGATGCGGACACCTCTGTCCTGTCGGACACCCCTGTCCTCCCGGGACACCGCGACCTCCCGGACCGCTCACCTCCGAGCCGCCGCCGCAGGTCGGCCAGGCCGCCCACGTGGTCCGAGTGCCAGTGGGTGATGACGATCTCTTGGAGCTGAACGTCGGCCTCTCGGAGCACGCCCTCCAGCCGGTCCACGTACTCGGGTACGCCGCTGCTGCCCGTGTCCACCAGAACGCGGCTGGAGGCCAGACACAGGGGACAGGGGGTCAGCGGCGGGGACAGACTGAACAGTCTGGCAGGGACAGACCAACTCCGGCACGCTGCTGCTGCCCGTGTCCACTAGCACACGTCCGACAAGGAGGGCACGGGGAACAGGCGGGGTCAGCAGCGGGGACAGACTATGAACAGGGACAGAGTGAATCAGGGCAGGGACAACCCCAGAAAGAGCATTGTCAAACTTCAGAAAAAGACATCCTTCCGACCTTCCAGCCATGACATAGCCAGCCGATTCTCCTGTCAGAGCAAATTTTTAAACCCCCAGACCTGGGGCCCACCGTGCCTCGTCCGGTGACGATCCTCACGGTGCCTCACTCAGAGCCACACGCCGGTCCACGCGTTTGTACCCTCCCACTGACCGGTTGTACCTACTTTTTTTTGTTTTGTTGGGTTAGGCCCTTTCGGTCGACAAGACCATTGCAGAGCCGGAAGGATGATAGGAATTAGGGGGAGACATTGGTCTGGGCAGGCACCCTAGTGAGTCGCCGGGGCTGAGCCCGTCCGAAGACAGGCCACCCAGCCCCAAGGCACTCACTGCACCCGGCTACGGGGTGCGCTCCCTCGGGAGCAGCGGTGCCGCTCCAAGGGAGCAGCCCGCATGAGATAAAGTTGCCTGTCCAGCCCGGAAGGGGGTTGCGGTGTGGAGGAGAAGGATTTCAGTATCCTGAGGATAGAAGCACGGATAGGTGTTGTACCTACCCTCCCACTGACCACTTGTACCCTCTCACTGACCACTTGTACCCTCCAACTGACCGCTTGTACCCTCCAACTGATCATTTGTACCCTCCCGGCTCCCACTCACCGTTTTCCGGTGCCGACCAGGTAGGTGTTGGTGCCCTGCAGCGTCATCGGACTGGGGTTGCAGCCCAGCACGCGGGTCACCGTGTCAGAGAGCGCGGTAACCCCCGGCAGGGGCGTCAGCTGGCCCTGCATCCCGAACCTCTGGAGCCAGCCGAATGCCTTGTACACGACGCGCATCAGCATCCCACTGCACCGGTGCGCCGCGCGGGGAGGCCGGCCGCTCTCTGCGGGGTGGAGCACGGTCACAGCGCGGCCGGAACACGCACCTGAATCAGCGCATGTTATACCGGGAGGGGGGGGGGGCTGGCAGGGATACCACAGCTCCCAGCTGAATAAATACCAACTCAGTCATAATCCACTGCCGACTCAGTAACCAGACGCAGACAATTCCGCACTGAATGTTAACAGCTCGAAAACAACGCCTTTCTCAGCTAGCCTTGACATCTGCTGTGTGTGTGTTTGCATTGCTGGGAAGCGTGGGCACAAGTGCAGCACCAAACGTGTTTTACAGTCACCCATGAGACGAGTGGCTCGGTATTGCTGAATACGAGTGTATCTATCGTTCCTAGACCCGACAGCTCAGTTTGAATGGTATCTCTTATGAACATAAGGCTGCTTATTTTGTTTTACTTTGTCACGATGCCAGTGCAGTGGTGAAATTGTACCAAGTTTTTCCATTTCCCTCCCCTTTACCGTATCCACGACCGGGCCTAACAGTGGTTAGGTACCTCTCCGTTTGCCAGCACAGGTAATAGTAATGTGTACCCCCAAAAGTATTTGCTATTTCGAGGGGAATAATTCGACCTCTTATGGCAAGCGTCTAGACTATCAAACATACATAATAACTTATTTCTATGGTACCGGCGTGTCAGTAACGCCGCAATGAAATATGAGATCTCCGTTTAACATGGAATCAATAAACAAAACACCCAGCAAGCCCATCCCAGGACATAGCAGGACCTGGCCCAGAGGATCGCCCACTCCACTATCATCCGACCCCGAAACCAACACATAAAATCAGATATATCATTGCGCAAATCAATAAAGGGCAATTCCTCTAAAAGTCTCAGTATATATAATTCAAAACTTTATATTTCAAATCAGCCTCGGCAAACATATTGAATAACAATGCACGGAAACAGATTTAAAACGATATTAACTGGGATAAATTGGCAGTTTTTCCCGGGATACTCTAAGCAACCTAAGCAAAGTACACACGTTCGCTGTCGTCACTATGGGACACATTTCCACAATGCCGTTTCTTTTTAACATCTGCACATTTGATGGGCTTTGGTACCAAGAGTAAGCACTAATCAGCATGAGCCGAGGCAAGCTGATGCAATGAGAAAGAAACGAGCATATTTCGGACAACTTTACAAACGAATTATCAGAAGACAAGTACCGAGGCTAAATTATCTCATAACACGACACTTGGAAGCGAAATTCCACAACCAGAAAGCAGCAAACCCCAGAGGCACAATCACGACGCCGCGCCCAGTACAAGTCTTAACCCGGCAGTTGCTGGGGTATTTCGCCACCCACCGTTTGCTGAGGGGGGGCGTTAAACGCCCCCAGCCGATAACTCGAGAACCAATAGGCGCAGCGAAACGCACGAGGCGGCAAACGAAAGAGCGCGACGAGACGCTTCAGATGAGTACTTTAAAGTTGAATTTTGAGGTCACAGGTCGTGTCAAGGTCAGGTCAAACACCTGAAATCGGGCTTTCCGTAGCATGGACTTCAGGACTTCGCAATGGGCGCCTCTCGCCACAAACTCTGTCAAAACGGTGCACAATCCATCTTATAAGGCCTACAAGAGTGTCAGCTCCATGTAGGGGTCAGTCAAGCATAGGTCAGGGTCAAGGTCAGGTCAACCGGGTAGGCACATATCCCCGAAAATCAAAACTGATATTCGCAGCCTGTGACACATGTTTTATAGGTAATTTGGGGCGTAGAACACGATGGTGACATTTATTTTATCATATGTGTACGTGTTTGGCTCAAAAAGTTCAATTTAATAAATTCATGTATCATGGTCGTGAAGTAGTCACGAAAAATTGCCAAGATTCAGTTCAAGATTATCGAAAATGCGGAACGAATATCAATAATCGAAGATAGCCATTTGATTGATCATGGTATTGGCAGTCTAATGGCGTTTACGGCATGTCTGTATGTCTATTCTGTGATTTTATATGATTTTTTGAACATATGCCGTTTTTGGTCGAAAACTCAGAAATCATGACGTCACTAAAACCTCGATATCTCAAAAAATTTCCGACCGATTTTTTTGAAACTTTGTCACAATAAACTTCAATCAATTCCCTACAGGTACCCAAAATTTGGCGCGCCTGCGGCGCGCCGTTTTTATGCTATGGCCCGGCGAAAAAAGTGGGGGCGTTTAACGCCCCCCCCCAGCAACTCGCGGGTTAACAATACCGCAGTCACAGCAACAGCAGGCATAACCGGTGCTTCAGTCTCAATCTGTCTGAGCCGCTGCAGAAACAGTCTCAGTTACCGTGGTATTACGGTCTTGATTACCATTGCAGTCACAGTCCCAGTCTGTGAGCAGTCTCAGTCCCAGCCGCTGCAGTCACAGTCTCGGTTAACGTAGTAACGGTCCCGAATACAACTGTAGTCAGTCTCAGCCAACGCAGTCTCACCGTCCATCTCCGATCACACACTCCCGCGCACCGCTCAGAACTCGGTCATGTTAGAGGCACAAAACCGCTGGATGTCGTCCATGCTCATACTGCCCAGCCGCTGGTCGAACTTCTTCTTGAACTCGGCCAGGAACCGGTCAGCATCCCCCTGTCCCAGGCAGCGCTCGGCCAGGGTGCGGAGCGGCGTCCACGGATCGGGTCCCGCCGGCGCCGGCTCCAGTTTGATGGCCGCCGGCGCCGGGGCCGCGGCCGCGCTCTGGGCAGCCGCCGGGGCCGGGGCCGGGCTCTGACCCGCCGCCGGAGCGCCAGCCGCGGGTTTGGCCGTCACCAGGAACACCTTGGCGCCGTCTGTGAGCCGGCACGCCGTCATCGTGTCGTCGTCCTGCAGCGTCTTGCCGCGGAACACCAGCTTCTGGGAGGCGCGCGGCACGCCGAGTCGCGACTCGACCAGCGTTTTCAGCATGGAGACGGTGGCGCTCTCGGACACCTCCAGTTGACACTCGGCGCCCTGCAGGATCTTCACCGTCAGCTGCATCGCGCCGCCTGAAACAGCCGACGGCCGCGTCACCCGCCGCCCGGCACCGGACCCACATAAACGCATAGCACCGCGAATGATGAAAACACACCATATTCACATAATGTACAAGCCACAAAAGAAAAGAAAAATAACTTACACGTAAACTGAGTAAGAAATACATGACAGTAGGTCAGTCAGGTGATAAAGGCGTAATATTGGACAGTATTAATGATCAACTCGCATGTTCAGATCGAGCCCAAAGACATACGATACGATTTGAAAAAAAGGAATGTATAATCATGTGTATTGATGCCCGCAAAAAGGCCGAAAAGGGTGCTGTCTTTACTCTGACAAATAATCAATTTTACACACCAACATTGATTGTCACATGTGAAGAAAGAATAGGTATCACTAAACAAGAAAGGTGGGTCAATATTCCCGTGAAAGTAGAGAGAAATAAAATGAACCGCACCAGACACCAAATATCTTGAACTGGATAAGTTACCTACTCTTGAGCCTGTCCCAATACTCGAGCGAAACAGCGACAACATGAGTCTGCTATTTTCATAACAGGAATAGAATCAGACCGGCACATGATCAGATGTAGCTCGGTGTCCCGTTAACATTATGCATCACATTCTCCGTGAAAAAAGGATCTTCAAACACAGCGGTGGTCGCGTAGTCGAAAGGTAATCTGCCGGCCCGCGCCAGTACCTATAGGGGGTGTCGAACGGATCCCCTCGGTTTTTCGCGAATAACTCGCGTAAAAAGTGGCGATCGCCACGAAGCTTTCAGAACCCTCGAGTTAATCAATTTCCCACCTACCCTGAAAATTTCAGGAACCCTGACCCAAATGACTTTTGACCAGTGACCTATTTTTCGAGACCATGTTTGGCCGGAATCGCGATTCGGCGTATGTCGGCTCGCATTTTCGTGGTTTCAAGCGTTTAAACTTGTAATATCAATATGATGTTGGTCCCATGCATAAGGGTGTATACTTTATACTGTATGTCGAGGTCACCTGAAGGTCAGGTCAGGTCCTTGACCTTTGATGACCTCGGTTCATTTTTCGAGTTTTACATGTTTCTAGGCTAGTTCTTGGAGCTGAATTCGAATTTAGCAACTATTTGAACATTTACGAAGTAGTTTTGGTGCCTTCGTAACATACTACGAAGCTGTCAGAGGCATCTACCACGAATACCTGGCAGTATCCCTACTAATTGACCTGACCTGACCCGACCTAGTCAAAATGCATGAAGACATTATCTGACTGTGATCAAAACTAATATGCTATTCGTGATCAGCACCCCGAAAACCCCATGGCAGCCACACTTTATGACGTTCTAACAGGTCCCGATTTTTCCGACTTTTGGGTCATTGACCTGACCTGGAAGGTCAACCAATGACCTACGATCTTAAAATTGGATATCATCGACCTCCTTTCCTCACGGGCAGCACGCTCGTTTTTTTCCGCGAAGCTCTAGCTCGATCAGGGGGCATACGGCAAGGGGGGGTCCAACGGACCCCCCCCCCCCCCTCTACGTTCGCGGCTGACAAAACACCAATACGGGCGAGGATTAAATTGTCAAATTGTCAATCATTGACTGGATGCTGCATTTCTTAAACTAAACAAGAGTTTCTCTATCAAATCATATTATACAAATTAACTTATATCTGAACAAGTCAATTCTGCAGCTCTTGTCTGTGAACCAATTAAAGGGACCCTCCCACCTTAACATTAGATTTGAGTTGAGATAGCCAAAATGGGGTCCCTGGCTCACAATTACCGGATTCGGCACTCACAACATCGAGAAATGCCTTAAATCGGAAATATTGAATTTCAAAATTGCAGCATTTTGATTCAGAGGGGCTAATGCTTAGGAATACCCCTCTGAATGTGTGACGTCAGCGCAGATATCTAACGGTTTTTAAATGTTTGACTAAAACGTTTTGTAGCACGCGGTGGTATATGCTATTTGCGCGCAACATCTGCCGCAAACGCCACACTTCTAAAATAAAGTCGCTAGAAACAGCGGAGATCCCAAAAAAGTAAACAAAAGTAAAAGTGTAATATCTTGAAAACCGGTGAATATTTTTCGGTGAAATTTGGTAGATATTCGTTTTCGCTCTTTCTGAACCGAGCAACATCACTTTCATGCCAATTCATAAACTTTTTTGAAGGTGGGAGGGTCCCTTTAAGTGCCCTTTAAAATGAAAGAGGTAGGCCAGTTTGGAAAAATCCATATACTATGCCGGACGCCTTGGGGGCAATCATTGCCGAAATTCGGTGCAAGCGATTTTGCGCTCTTGTGACATGACTTTCAACAAAAGTGCATGCTTGTTTGTGCCAAAGCTTAATTCCAATGGTCCGAGGGCCGTCACAAATGTCAACCCAGGGATAGGGGTAAATGTGAAGATGAAGCCCAAGTAGAAAAAAAATTAACATGGCCTAACATTACCTACTTACTACCCTACTCAACAACTACAACCTACATCCCTAGGCATATGTGTAGATGAAGTATGGTTGGTAAGTTGGTAGGTTGTAGATTTGTAGGCTGTAGGTTGGTAGGTTCAATGTTGTAGGCCAGTAGGTAAGATTAGGTCAGGTTAGATTATGTTTTTTATCTTCACTGTACTTCATCTTCACTTTTACCCATCCCTACAACCTATCAACCTACCTACCAACCGCAGTATTCTTCCTACCAACCTACCAATTGGACTTCAGCTTCACATATACCAGGGTCCAGGATAGGTGGGTACTCAATTCCCAGACTGGAAAACATCCATACACTACGCCGGACGCCTGTGAGACCCTCTTGCGCCGAAATTCGGCGCAAGCGATTTTGCGCTGAGATTTCTGCATGATTTGCGCCAAAAATGGGGTGCCTATTTGTGACAAAATTAAGCCACTTTTATATAAAGCACATGTGCACATCTACCGATCAAGGCCATATCAACCAGACAGAGCATTCCGGGGCCTTGGACGCTCTCCCATGTTTGATTGTCCGAATAAGTTTTTTATTTCCACAGAAACCCAATACCACCTCAATACGCTTAGCGCGCTGTAGCGTCGTGCCGTGAAACAAGGCCGGAGCCACTTCGGTGTGTTCGAGGCTGGCGGGAGCCAGCGAGGGCCGGGCATGAGAGCAGCACGTGCTCCTCCGGCGCATCAGCCTCTTTTTGGCACACGGCGCCGAGCGCCGCGGGGCAACGCTTCTATGGGCACTGCTGGCACACCGCGGAGTGGAGAAAGCCGATTCGGTGCCGTATTGGAGCGAGCAGCCCCAGTGGCCCGCCCTCATCTGGTGTACCAAAACGGCGTCCTCTCGGTCCTCTCCGGGGATGGGGAGCGAAGGCGTACTCCCGAGGAGTGGCTTGAATAGTGACTCGGACCAGTTGTCGCGCCATTGATGCGTGGCCGCACAATGAACCGCCCTGGTCAGCGAGCGGGTGTTTGAGGGCAGGATGGCCGCCTGTTTCGCCAGGTCGTCCGCGCTCTCATTCCCTTTGATACCGCAGTGAGCCGGAGCCAGGAACCCACTGCAACATTACTCCACGATGCTCAGCGATGTCAACAAGGTCTGTCATACCTATATACATGCCGAGGGCTGAGGCCTCACCTGGGCGGCCTCTCCTCTGCTGAGTAGCTTCAGGGCGGCTAGCCAGTTCGAGCATGCGACGACCAGGGTGAGGAAGTCTCATCCCTAAACCTCTCCAGAGCCGCCTGCAGGGCGAATCTGCTGCCAGATTGACCAGCGTGCCGACAAAATCTGGTGACCATCTTTCGCACAAAAAAAATTGTGCCCGTCCTGCACCGAAAAATTCAGCTGTCGCCATGCGCTGAATTTGGTGCATGCGAAGTTACGCCCAATGCAAGCCGAAATTTTTGGAGCAATCCCACCACTACGCCGGTCATATTCGTTGTCACATGTATTCTAGCTGAGGTTAGATCTTGTCATCTTGTGCCAAAGTATTGCTTATATCATACGTATGCGCCAAATTTTTCATTCATCCGTGCACCAAAATTTCAGTGCACTCAGCACTGAGGCTGCCGGACTCTGCACCAAAATTTTGGCGCAATCTGCCAATTACACTGGACATGTCAGCCGTAATATGGACTTTTCCCGGTCGAAGGTATTAGCTCCATGGCATTCTCACTCTTCATTTTTCAAAAAAGTTAAATTGCAAGGGTTTATGGCAATGTCAACCAGGTTTTTACTCATTCCCGCCGTGAAAATCACTAGAAAATAGTGAAAAATGACTTAAAAAGGAAAATACACCTACTCACCCTCAAGGCCGTATATTGGGCTCACCGGACTCACGTTGTCTATATACCCTGTCAATATACCCTCAGGCTTATTGCATGCGACGCAAAATTAAAATTGCAAAGGCATATATCGACTTTCTTCGCCTGTTGTGTGCATCTCGAAAACCAAAAGCGAATTGTTCCACAAGCATTTATCAAGCAAAGTGAAACCGTCAAATTATGAAAATTAAAAGTGACGTCATAATAACTAGTGTTAGAGTTTCTCACTTTGGAAAGTACTTTCATTTTGTTGGAACATGGGATACTATCAGCCTTCTAAAATATTTTCCTTATTTTATATACTGCTGGTGCATGTATTTTCCAAAGAGAAATGATATGGGAGAGCATTCCCTTGCATAACATCTAGATACGTCATCAGTATGATTTTGCAGACGATCGTATGGTAACAGAACGCTTTTTCGGTGCCTTAATTTTGTGACAAAACCGGCGTGATTCACCGGTTGCGGGGGGAGCGGTGGTGAATGTTTATTACATATTTTTACAGGATTATTAAGCGCAAGTTGGTTATTTCATTTGACTATTTGATTTAGCATCTTGGTAAGGTTTTTATCAGTTGAAGACACTTTCAAGAAATAAGGTTTAACATTCGGCGGCGCGGAAACCATGGCAAAATTTCGCCGCAAAATCACTTCAGTCCCACGCACAAGGGGGAAAAGCTCAAATTATTGAGCGCTCAAAATATTGAGCGTGTGACGTCAGAGGCTCCCATAGGCGTAATGCTGAGGGCTCAAAAAATTGAGCCGTTTCAGGAACACGTTTTGCAAAAGCAACTCGCAACACCTAGGGAGAAATCGCAACACCCTAGGAGAATCACTAATGATGCAAAACAGATTAGGCTTTCATATTTTTCACTGCTCAAGCTTCATTGATTGGGGGAACACCAATTTATAGGTCGAAATCTTACGGCATACCAGGATGACTTAAAAACAGGCCAGTATTTATGTCGAAATAAAAGTTATTTTTTGTCCATTCACGTTTTTTACTAGGGTTCTGTTGGAAAGAGCATTTTTTATACTACCCAAAATGATTGCGACTCAATTTTCACATTACCCATATCGGAGAATATTTTTCATTTGGCGGCGCCGTTTGTTTATTTCGTCGCGACGTCTCCGGTCGCGTGGTTGTCGTCGTCCTTGTGTTGAAGGTAAGTTTTTATCGTTTTAGTTATACTTAGATGTTAAAAGGTACACTGAAAAGTTTGAATATACTGTGATTTTAAATTTGGAAACACGTAAACGTCAATCAATTCACGTTTTCCTCGATTTGCGTGCAGATAAGTAACTGTCGACGAAAGTGGCGCCATCCGATATGATGTTTTGAAGGAAGGAGACACAACATATTTACGAGAAAATTTTTGTTTTTTAGTGGTCTGAGTGCTTCAAAGAGGCTGTGAATGTTTTCTTCACACAATTTTTCATTAGGTATGATGAGGTAAAAGGTAGTTTCAGTCTTAACTTTCATATAATTGACATTAAAACATATGATAGTCCACTGCTATCAGTGATTGAGTACCTTGATATTTGGCATTTCTTATTAATTTGAATGTATTCTCTATCCATATGTCCTGATAGGAAGTGACAATACTCTGCCAATATGTTTCCATAGTCTTCACATTCATTTTCCAGTCCTTTACATAACATCACAATTTATAATCAACAAAACTCAACTCCTTCGTTACCTACTTCACAACACTGACAGCATGACAGACTGACAGTCAACTTTTGTGTGTGTGAATGCTGAAACATAATAGCCACTTTGCTGATTGGCTCATATGAAATAAGATAAAAATGATCCTTTATGTCATTTCCATCTGGAGGATCGGAGTCAACGGAAAAGGAAGGCCACTTTCAAGCCTCAAGGTCTAGGCCGCCAGACGCCAGTCGGCAGTCACCACCAAATTTACAATAGATTAATTCATTATTATACTTTGAGACCCTTAGGTCACTGGATCAGCATCACATTTTCAGTTTCAATATAGTAAAGGTTTTTATTTGTATGATGTGAAATATTTTCCTGAATCAGAATTTAATTATCCCTAGGTACCTGGTAGAGGTTTCGGATTTAATGCTCATTGTTGGTGTGCAGTCAGGATGTTTTGACAGATCCAGATAGGGAATCCTGAGCAATTTTATAGTAAAGTGGTCTCCTATGAACACATTTTATCAAAAGCATTTGCAGAATTCATTCAATGAAGAATTTTATCAATGTTGCACCCATTTCCACCCATAGACGACCTAGGCTGCATCTTTTTTAGTTCCTGTTGTATGACATATTTTCCATTTTGTTCCACTGCATAAAGAAAAAAAATCGTTTGAGATCACCAAACAGCTTTTCTTTTTCTGGCAGGTCTGCACAACCAAGCGGTCGCTGGCGAGGACGTCGGCCGTCCCTGTGGGTAAGGTCATCTGCTCAGCCTTTGTGGAGATCAGCAAGACGTCACCAAGATGAAGACTTCGCTGGAGCAGAAGCCGCTGACCCGTGTCCGATCGGGCAGGTCATGCTCGACGGCACGAGCCACAACTTGAACGACTCGGTGACATCAACAACATGGTGGAGCAGGTGAATGAGTTTGGCGACGTGTTGTGCGACTGCAAAAAGGGTTGTCTGCGTGTTCTGGCTGGCGGAGCGGCGACGCTGCGCAGTCTGTGCTGGCGGTGAGCAGCTGGCCGTGGTGACCGCGCGCGCCCACATGCGCCGACAACCTGTGTGGCTTCGACGGCCCCGGGACAGCCCGATGCCGCCCACTATGCGACGCCGACCGCGCACTGTCCGCACGGCCACATGGAGGTGTGCCCGCGCCTTTTGCCCGCACGCCGTTACCTCGCAGCTGGTCTGCAACCACGCCGTCGCCGCCTGTAGCCCGATAACAAAACGGCTGTCTGATAATGCCGCGTGTTCTTTGTGATGTTGCTACTGTGATGGTTGCTACTGCTGGTCTGAGACTCGATGTTTCCATTCGTCCTTTACATGTTAAGGATTTGATAATGATTAGCTTAGTCCGAGCTTAGGTCGTTTATATCATTTGTTATATGGCATATTTTGGATCAAAGCAGTACGTCACTGCCTCCTGCTTTTGTGATGTATGCTGGTAAGACGCAGGTTCCGGTCGCAGGTCACCCGGTTCCAATGTGGTCGGGCTGACATGCGATAATGTGATGTTGTTTGGCTCGTCTCTGTGTTCCACACTTGATGATGTTTGTGAATCTAACCCACATTGTATAGTATTTTTGTTTGTTTGCGGCCGATGGCCTTGTAAGTTGTACCTAACCGTGGCAATACAGTTTTTCCTGCTATAATTCTCCAATATTCAAGCGTGGGTGGATATCTTTCTGTATTCACGTATTCCCTTCTCCCAGTACAGTCAGAGAATATCAATACAGTATTCATACGGATTATTCAAGCCCTGTATAATTATTTGAGGTGTGCCGAATCCGAAAGGCGACCGATAAAGCTACTAGCGGTCAGCGGAAAATGTGACATGATGCCATGGGTTTATGAAAAGTTTAGGTACCACGTAGCATTCAACTTCCTGCATTTCTGTTTCAACTCAGTTTAACGTATTTCAACGAACATAACATCAAAAATGGCAGCCAGTACCGGCTTCACCTGGCACGGAGAACGCTCAAAAAATTGAGTGTAGATGCTGGCCGGCACTCAATTTTTTGAGCGCCAGCTGACTGTCGTCTGTCGTGGCGCTCAATTTATTGAGTATCGCGGTCCCGAACGACAAGTGGCGCTCAAAAAGTTGAGCGTCTTTAGGGCATTTTCTTTCCAAAAACACCGATATAAATTATCACGGCGAGTGTTCGAGAAGAAACCTTGTTGCTCTCTCTTGCCATTGATACCTTATTTGGATACGATATTTGCCGTAGTGTGACGCTAAAGGCATTGTAAAATACCATCGTTTCGCCTATTCCTTCATAATGGGGCCCGCTCAATTTTTTGAGCGCTCAATTTTTTGAGCTTTTCCCCCTTGTGCGTGGGACTGACTTAAATGAATTTTTGCGCATCACAATCAGCACTTAATGATTCTCATGAGAGTCCCGAGCCCTGAGGCATCCTCGAAGTTTATGGATTTTTTTTTTCTAGTCCGGCAAACACGCATCTTCATGTAGGTACTCAATTATCTAACTGACTAGCAACACTTGACAGCAGACAGGGTCATTGATCACTAGTAGCGGCAGAACACCTTCAATTAACCCGCGAGTTGCTGGGGGGGGGCGTTAAACACCCCTACTTTTTTCACCGGGTCATAGCATAAAAACGGCGCGCCGCAGGCGCGCCAAATTTTGGGTACCTGTAGGGAATTGATTGAAGTTTATTGACAAAGTTTCAAAAAATCGGTCGGAAAAATTTTGAAATATCGAGGTTTTAGTGACGTCATGATTTTTGAATTTTCGACCAAAAACGGCGTATGTTCAAAAAATCATATAAAATCACAGAATAGACATACAGACATGCCGTAAACGCCATTAGACTGCCAATACCATGAACAATCAAATGGCTATCTTCGATTATTGATTATCATTCCGCATTTTCCAAAATCTTGAACTGAATCTTGACAATTTCTCGTGACTACTTCACGACTATGTTACATGCATTTCTTAAATTAAACTTTTTTAGCAAAACACGTATACATATGATAAAATGAATGTCACCATCGTGTTCTACGCCCCAAATTACCCATAAAACATGTGTCACGGGCTGCGAATATCAGTTTTGATTTTCGGGGATATGTGCCTACCCGGTTGACCTGACCTTGACCCTGACCTATGCTTGACTGACCCCTACATGGAGCTGACACTCTTGTAGGCCCTATACGATGGATTGTGCACCATTTTGACAGAGTTTATGACGAGAGGCGCCCATTGCGAAGTCCTGAAGTCCATGCTACTGAAAGGCCGATTTCAGGTGTTTGACCTGACCTTGACCCGACCTGTGACCTCAAAACTCAACTTTAAAGTACTCATCTGAAGCGTCTCGTCGCGCTCTTTCGTTTGCCGCCTCGTGCGTTTCGCTGCGCCTATTGGTTCTCGAGTTATCGGCTGGGGGCGTTTAACGCCCCCCCCCCCCCCAGCAAACGGTGGGTGGCGAAATACCCCAGCAACTGCCGGGTTAAGGGG